ATGTGGTGCGAATCGTCTTAGTCTCCAAATTCTCAGTCCTAACTGGCTTTCAAGTTCCTTCTCATTGACCACTTTGTCCAAGAAGCCATGGGAAGAGTCCTTAATCATGAATTTAATCCATATGTCAACAGATAAAACTCCTTAATGAGACTGGCCTGTTTCAAAGTCACAGACTTAGGACTATACCCCAACTTCTAGACATCTTCTAGAATCGCGCTTGTAGAAGCCACCTGAAATATGACCATAAGTGGTGTTGTAAGCCACCACGCCTAAGAAGACTTTGGTATGTTGAATATAGTAAAGACATTTCCTCTTCCTTCCTCACACCTCTGAAAAATGATTACTTAGAATGATTCCAATAACAAACTGACTTTGTTGTTATTGTTGTTGTTGTTGTTGTTATTGTTATGTGAGAAAATCATTTGAGTAACCATCCTGGAAATCTGCTCTGAATTCAACACTTCTTAAGGCTCCAACAAGGCAATTATAAATTGACATCCTACAAAGCTGAGTCCTGACCCTTCCTGTCTGCTTCACACTATGGGCAGGTGTCTGAGTACAAGGTTTAGACACCCCTGGCAGACAGAATTTCCTGCACTGTCTTGCTCTTGTCTGCCAGCCGGGCCCAGGTCACTCTGCAAGCATATGTGGGGAACAGCTGGCGTCTGTAAAGATGAACAGTGGAGGAAGAATGGAGGGAGCAGACAGACATCATGCTGGGCCAAGGAACTGGGAGGCCCCAGCCCTGGGGACCAGGAAAAGGCTTAGGCGGAGAGCTGGCAAGAAGCAAGTCTGGGAAAGGGTGCTGAGAGCTTAACCCTGGCCTGGAGTTCATACAAATAACTCCATTCCAGGAGGTCTATGAAACAAGAAGTTCATCTCTGAGAAAAGCAAGAATTCTTGGGCAAGGCACAGCCTATTGCAACAAGATGGTCAGAAAGGTTAGAGGTTGGCACTTTCTGGTTTAATTCTCTAGATTGTATCTCAGCTCCACCACTTGCTAGTTGGATGAAGTTAACCCTTCCAAATCAGTTTCATCATCTCTAAAATAAAGATAAAAGGGCAACACTTACAACAGAGCTACTGTGCTGATGAGATGAAATGATATGTAAAAGCAGTTAACACTATGCTTGGCAAAGTGTAACCTCTCAATAAGTACTAGCTATTATGATTGTCTGGTGTTAGGAAATCCTAAATCCTACACACAACTATGTCACTTTGGAGAAATGGCTTCTCCTCTCTCAGACTTAATTTTCTACCTTGCTAGATTTTTTTTTTGAAGTCTAAATGAGACAGAGATCTCACAGCCATGTGGTACATGCTCAATTAACGGAATCCTTAGAGTCCAGGAGAGTGACTGAAACACATCTACCCTATGGATGTGTTTCTGAGTGTCAGCCTTAGAGGAAGGGAATTTCCAATGATATGTGACTGGGGCCAAAGGGACAGGTGGGAATTAATAGGTCCAACATGTAAGGTCAGGGGACTGAAAGGAAGAAAACCCCTTTCGTCTCCTAAGAGTCTTCCTACTGTGGAAACTGGACACAGAGCCCAGAACTTTCTCCCGCACTGTGAACACCCTGGGAAAGACCTATGTCTTAGGATGTGAGGGTTGAGTGGCAAGATCAAAGCCTCATAGACCACCACTCAGTCTTTGCTACCAGAAAAGCTGCTCTCCTATTTGCCTATGGGAGGCAAGAGGCAGGGAATCCCATGTTCCACTTCCCAGTCCTAGCTCACAGGGCTCCAGCCAACTGTTGGAGCAGTATGCCCAGAGGTACCAAGGACAAGGTCCTATTCATATGTACTTTCCTCTCCTGCAACTTATCCCTGCTGCGTATGAGAGACAGCAGGACTTATGAATCTGACAGAGCTAGGTGAAAATATGGCTTTACCATTCAATGCGCTTGTGAACCTGGGCCAGACTCAAAGTGCTCTGAGCCCACACTGGTTCATCTGGGTGCTGTGGTTCAGAGTTGACATGGGGATTCGAGAACAATAATCAGAGTATCTGCATGGGTGTAGCTCTCTTTTCTCGGCTCATATTTGGCTAAAAAGCAGTCTTCGGTAAGGAGCAGCTGGAGGAAAGTTTTTAAGAGGTTGAGGTTTACTTGGAAGTTACCCTGGGAGCTTTAAATTGTAGGTAGTGCGATTTTAATTGGTGAAATCTCTTTTCTGCAAGATTTAGATTTCTAGGATCTCAAATATACAACACCCATGTGTTACAGAAGTAACTATGACAGTTGTTCCTGACACAAGAGAGTCCGTTTGTCTCTCCAATCCCGACTTCACGTATAGCTCTAACATTCCTTCTGCTTCTAACTTCTGCCCTCAAGCAGGTGTGCCTTTACCAGGGAATTTCCTGCTCCTTTAGGTCTCAGTGCTCAGGTCACGTCCTCAGGGACAGGGACATCTCTGATCTGCACCTGTGCTCCTTAAGGTACTGCGCTTCTCCTCCGTCACCTTTTCCACAAAGCAGACTGCAAGCACAGCTGCAGAACTCACCACTGACATCAGATTCCCCAACAAATGGCAAGTCTCACAGGACAGGAGCTGTAGCTGTCTGATATCACGGCGCAGATACAGCCTGGGCCAGTGCTGGGCACACAGAGATGCCCAGCGGACATTCCTGCCACTGGAGGAAGCAAGCCTGGGCATCAGCATTCTGTCGGCTCAGCCAACAGGAAGACCAATGAGGGGAAGTAGATGATAACCTTTTGCATAACGAATCCAAACTACGTTTATAATGTGGGTGGCTAAGGAGGCGGGGGAGGGAGAGACAGACACAGAGAGAGGCACGTTGAGAACAGCAAAAAATTCAATTCTGGGCCACTTAGCAAGGAGGTAGTATTTAACTCGGGGTCTGAAGTCTGCAAGCACTGCAGCTGAGCCTCATTCGGTGACTCGCGTTCTTATGTATATGAATGCATTGGAAACAAAGTTACTATAATAATTTGAGATCTGCACCTGAGCCTCAATCTCATGACTTCATTTCCCTACCATGCACTCTGTAAAAAGAGTAACACATTTAAGGACAACACCCTCCTCCCCAAATACTTTGAGTTTTTATTACATAAGTTACAGTAGGTAGGAAAATTATGTTAATCACAGCTGCACTTTCTCCAACTGAGGGTGTAAGACAAGGTCATAATTATATAGAAACTTCTATTTAAAATACAAACTTCATTTTTTTAAAAAAGCCCATTCCAGTGGAACTTGACATTATTATATGATGTAGTCATTGGAAACAGGTATCAATAGCTTTAAAAGGTTTATACCTCTTAGGTCATTTCAATTTTAATAGATTCTAAAGGAATAATCAAGGCTGTAGAAGATTTATATGCAAAAACATCCACGAGCGCCGTTATTTATAATTTGTAAAAATGAAATAATTCAAAATTAAAGTGAAAAAGCAAATGGCTACTAACATTATTGCCCATTGCAACCATGAAATATTGCATAGAAATACATCAAAAATACACCTGAGAAGTTTGCTCTAAGACAGTTCTTACATATGCTATTTAAAATGCCAAGCAAACAAAACCAAAGGCAACAATATTCCAGACCGGAAATGCAGTCATATGTTCAAGGACACATACGTCACATCAAACAAAATATGCATAATAAAATATCCCCCAAAGAAAGCAGAGTTTATCTTCGCACTCTGGGACAACAGTGAACATTTTTGTTCTCTCTCTCTGGATTTCCCTAAGAATAAAATATATGTTGTTTCATAATTAGAAAAAAATAGCATAATGTACTAATAGAGCATGAATTTTATTTTGGCTATGCTTTAGCAGAAAGGGCATGCGTTTAGTGTTCTGCTGACAAAATGCTCATTTGCTGACTAGTAACAGTCCTTGGACTTGAGTGTGTCCTGATTCATCCCTGCACTCTGGGTCAGAGCATTTTTCTTGAAGGAACCAACTCCCTTAAGGGTGTCACAATATCAAGGGACTTGGACTGGACACCAGAAACCTTGCTCTGTGCTTGCCACTCTGCCACTTCATCGCAATCATTCCTCCTTTAGAAGCCTCCATGTCCCGTGAATAAAACGAACAGTTTGGGGCAGGTCCTCACAGGGAGCTCTTCAGCCAAGACTGACTATAAGCCTTCACTTTGCTTGTCTCAGAAACTCAGTTCCCCATTGTTTTAATATGAGACTCTGCAACCAAACATCTTGGTGATAGCAGGTGAGCACAAACCTGAAAAGAGCTTCCTATTAAGTCCTTCATCACAAGAACGCTTGTCACCTTGGGCTAACCACCCCTCTCTCAGCTCTTGGCTGGTGCCCCAAACTTAGGTTCCAGCCCCAGTGAGGAGGAAAATGGAGGTGGACACTTTTTTGGAGTGGTTGACAAGCATCTCACTTCAATTCTCCAGTTTTCCTACCAACAGCTAAATCAATCATGTGTGCATCCTAATGCCAAAGTAAGAAAATCACAACTAATGCCTCCCCCTGGGCTTCCAATCCTATAGATGGAAAGGAAAAATGGAAGATAAAATGCCGAAAGGCCCTAAGGGGTAAATATTTTGGTTGGGGTTGTCTCATTTTCTCCCTCCCCCTAGACTTCAGCCGTATTTCCTAAATGTATGCTCTCTCTACAACTTGGCAAGCTCATCTCCTGCTCCAAACACTGTCTTTCCTGGCTGACTCCCTACTCCTTCTCCTCATCCCTCAATTTTTTATATAGTTACCACAGATTCCACATGGCCTTCTCCAAGGTCTCACCTAGGCCCTCACGGCATGTGGTACTTCCCCTCTGCAAGTGTTTTCTTCCCCCAGCACCCTTTTTGAGAACAACATCAACAAAAACCATCGAGGACCCAACACATGATATTAGCTCAATTAATGACTAAAGAATTAAAAATACAATGAAATAACACGGGTAGAACTAACACTGACACAACTAGGACAGTGGGTACTCCCACATGTGGGAGTGACTGTGACCCAGGACGCTGGAGATGTGGGAAGCGATGAGCAACCCACACTGGCCTACCTTTTTGGTCTTCACCGTGGAGGTGCAGCAATCCCCACCATCATAGTTGCAGAAGGCTCTGTTGTTGACGGCATCACAGTAATTGTCTCCCATAAAGGGCTGTAAAGGGGGAGAGAGAGAGGAAGGAAGCCAGATATGTCAGCATTCTGGAGTGAACAGGACCTGTCCTCAGTGATTCATCAAGACCCCTGTGGGTGCATAGCGACCTCATCAGCTCACAGACCTCTGCAGTCAGCTGACAGGCCTCAAGTCCTAGACCCTCTGGGTAAGTTATAGTTCTACTATTTACAAATGCTCTTATCTGCTGCATTTCCCCCCAACTGGAGTATTGTTATGCTCAGAAAAATACCCTGGATTGCCAAAGGATACTAAGCCACAGGAGAGATCACTTCCATCTTCCAGAAACAGCAAGTTCACTTTACTTATAGAAATGATATGATTTCCCTGACAGTGAGTAATTAATGAACATAATTTATGAGAAAGTATAAGCAAATAAATCAAGAAGTTGAATGTAAAGTACCTAGCATGAAATGTGAGAGATCTGAGGAACTGGGTACAGTACTTGGCACATGATAATGGTGGGTTCCCTAAGGAGAATACAGACGGACTCAACATCACACGTATTACGTATTTGTTCTCTTTTCCTTCAAACAACATGGAAGGTAGGCATTGTTAGTCTCAATTTACCAACTGAGACACTGAGACTCAGAGTAAGAAACTGACTTGGTCAAAATCACACTGGCAAACAAAGAACACTGATTTAAACTAGTTTGGCTTTATGGATTTTTTTTCTTTTTACCTTTACCTCACTGTTTCAGGATATTCTAGTTTACGCTGATTTACTTTTTTCTTCAGTGTTCCTCCCACTTTGTGATGCTCCAGACATGAAGAAGAGGTGCGAGAGGGGATCGTTACTGATCTGAACAAAGAGCCACCTATGAGGAAATCTCAAGTCTCTTTGACTTCCCTACCACATGTATGTTCCATCCCAGCCTTCAGCACACCACATTCTGTGGTCTGTTTATGTCTTCCTCGCAGATGCAAGACTGAGCTCCTAAAAACATAAACAATGTTGTGTTCATCCTTATCTCCCAGTTACCTAGTTTGTCTTCCAATCACCTAGAAACCTTTTTGTTTAGAGTGCTGGTAGGATTTCTACTGCCCTGGAAGTCACTAATAGGAATGGAGAGATATCATCATGTTTCTGGGGCCATTGCATCCCAGCATCCCAGTATATATATACCCTGTCGTTCAGTGGTTTCTCCTTCCCTATCTTATAAGAAGTCTAATTCATGTGGCATCTCTGATCTATCTATCATCTATCCATCCATCCATCCATCTATCTGTATCTTTTGCCTTCTAGTAAAGAAAAAAAAATGTCCTTTATCAAACAGTCACACATCTGCTTGGCCAGTTTCTACGCGGATAAGAGCTATACAGAATATATGCTTCTGGTAGAGTGAACCATTTGATCTAGTCACGGAGCTCTGTAAAGGTGTCCCTGAGGAAATGACATTTCAACTGAGATCATAAAGTTGGACAGGGGCTAATTAGGAAGGGGGATTTCCAGAGATGGGCAACAGGGAAAATAAAGTTCTGCTATATTTAGAGATTTTTCGCCCCTCTGGTACTTCTCTGTTGCTAGTTTTATTGATAAGGCAAATAATTTATTCTTCAAGATCTAGCTCAAACACTGGCTCTTCTAAACGCCTTCCGTAAAAGCCCAAAGATGCTTTGTGCTTCTACGGCTTCTTGTATGTGCTTTGGTTATAGACTTGGTACATTAATTTACATTTCTTTTCTTAAATACCTATCTCTTTTTTACATACTTTAAATTCCTTATGAGTAGGGAATACGTGCCATCCATTTTTGTATCCTAGATGTTTGGGGGAAATGCCTGGCAATTCAGTCAATGTTTACTCAGTGAAATGATGGGCAGATGAATGGATGGATGGAAAAGGTATGAATGACAAAAAATTCACAGATAACTCAAGGAAAACATAGTTTCCTGTCTTCACTTTAATAAAACCATTATATTCTCAGAACCTAGAATAGTGACTGGCATACAGTAGGAAATCAATAAAGCTTTTATGAACAAGTGAGTCAACAGTCACTCTGGACACAATTTGTAACAGAAGGAAAGGGGCTCTGCAGCCCCCAGACCTCTTCTCTTTCTCGGCTACCTCTAGATAGTTGAGGCATGATTGGGGTCCTCTCTCCTCACAATTTTCAAAAAATTCACAGATAACTCAAGGAAAACATAGTTTCCTGTCTTCACTTTAATAAAACCATTATATTCTCAGAACCTAGAATAGTGACTGGCATACAGTAGGAAATCAATAAAGCTTTTATGAACAAGTGAGTCAACAGTCACTCTGGACACAATTTGTAACAGAAGGAAAGGGGCTCTGCAGCCCCCAGACCTCTTCTCTTTCTCGGCTACCTCTAGATAGTTGAGGCATGATTGGGGTCCTCTCTGGTCTCAGAATTTATTCCTCTTCTCAGCATGCTTTCAGCTTCAGATAAGACACAGACTATCAGCTATAAGCTAACGAGGGAAGAAGAAGATGAGGGACACCTGCAAGGGCAGAGGTGATAAGCATCACTGTCAGGGCTCAGAGCCTGACAGGTGAGGGCCTCTTGGCCTCACTGCTGAGTCAAATGGAAGATCAAATTCCGCTGTCACACAGGTTGCCCAGATTGCTAAATCAGCAGAATGAGGGCCCAGGTAACTCAAGCTGCCCTTTCCCAAAATGCTAGACTGATCCAGAGAAGTGGGAGAAAGCAACAGCCATAAGGCCTTATCCTTGTTATTCTTGGCTCAAGCTTGGAAGTATGGCTGTTCCCAGATTGCAATGTCAAATTCCATGAGAAGATACCACATGGCATCCCTAACCAATTCATAAAGGTAAATGTGTGGTCCACGGACTGCATGGTAAAACTTACAGGTCAGGGAGGCAGGAGGTAGCTTAGCACAAGAGCAAAAGCACCAGCCTGAAAGTCAGGAGACCTGGACTTATGTTTTCATCCTGTAACCATCAGGCTGCATAAACTTAGCTCCTCTCTGTCCCTCATTTTCCAATCTGCACAGCAAGCAAACAGAGCTAGAGCATATTAAGATCCTTCCTGTTTTGGAATCCCATCCAATTCTAGAACTGGCCACTGCCTGGGTGGCTGCTTTCCATCTTTAAAATAAAATGTTAGATTTAGATGATCCACAAGAGCCCCTGTGGGTCTAACATTTGAAGAGTTTCATCAAGTATACATCCTTTTCTAAGGGATGATTTGATCCCTTTCACCTGCCATTTCCTCAGTGGGGTTTGTTGGGGGTGGAGGAGAAAGCACAGTGATTCGGCATGCATCTGGAAGGGATTTTTGAGCCTCTTTTTCACTTTCACCTGAGAAACAGTGGGTCAGAGCGACACACAGAAAGTTCCCTGGGTTCTCTGCATGACCTTTCCTTGAGAACTCAGCTGAGTCCCAAGAACCTGCCCCACCCCTAACACCTTGTCGCTAGTATCTTGTCAGAGCCAAAAACCAACCATTCGAGTACAAAGGAATGGCTCAACTTTAGAGAAATTTAGGGCCAGAAAGGATCTTCCCCTTCAGCTCAGTGGGTGAGTTTAGGGCATCCACATTACTTCTAGGGCTGAAGGATGACTGAATAAATAAGATGATGTGGGTCAGAAACAACTGATGAGCGAGCTATGATATGAGTAAAATGGAAATTTTAAAAATATCTCAGATGGCTCTGTTTAGGCTAAATGCGATAATGATAGCCAAATTCTTGCCGTGTTATGGATGCTAAATCAATATAGCCCCTTTCCCTTCCTTCCTGTCAGACCCAAAATTATACAGGCCACAGGCTTTGAAGCCAGAAAAACCTAGCCTGGAACCCCAACTCTGTTGTCCATTAAGTATGTTTTAAAACATGTTTTTCATTTCTTCTGAGCTTCACTTCCTTTACCTGTAAAATAAGATTGTTGGTCCCTGTCCTAAAAGTCTGCCAAATGGATATTTACAACACTTGGTAGGTACGGCACATGGTAACCATAAGAATATAACAATAACAGCGTTGGAATCACTCAGAGAGCTGAGGAGTCCTTCCTGTGACTCACCTCACAGCCTTTGACACAGTGGATCAGAGCAGGATGAGGGTACCACTTGAGACCAGCAGTGCAGACAACTCTCTGCAAAACATGGAGAAAGAGGTCAGATGGGCCTGGGATGGGAAGGGAGCCACCTCTTTATTGGCACCATATTTAGCCACCCCACCTTTGCTTAGAAATTCCAAGTCCTGACCTCACCCTGGCATTTACATAGACAACTTGCCCAAGTGCTTGCAATAACAGGAGCCATAGATTTAAATAATATTTGTCTTCAACCCATGTGCCATGATTCTACATTTCCCTGGCAGGAGCAACAGTTGAGGAGGAGCAGAATCAGGAGGTGGAAGCAAGATCAGAAATATCCTTCAGAAAATTCTTGGCCGATCTTTGACCCATTGGTACAATTGGGGATAGGGTGGGAGGAAGAGAGAAACGAGAGAGAGAGAGAGAGAGAGAGAGCGTGTGTGTATGTGTGTGTGCGTGTGTGCATTCATTTGTATGGCTGCAGGAGGATTATGGAGAAGGGTGTGGAGCAGGGTTTCTCCAAGCATGAGCTGAAGACTATTTTCATCAAAATTCCTGAATTATTAAAAGGGCAAATTCTTGAGTCCATGGCCTAGGACTCTGCGTTTTGAAAGCTAGACCACAGGTGAGAGCAGAAAGAGAGGGGAGGTAGAAATAAATAGAAGGATGCACAGGAATGTAATAAGCTCAATGAATGCAAACATTATGTGCCATAAACATGAGCTAGGATTAATAATATCAATAGGAATGACACTGAGGGAAAGGGCATTAGAGGAGGGGAGAAAGAAGGGATTTTAAAAAAGAAAGAAGATGTGTTGTGTACATGTACCCATTTACAGAGAACTGTAAATTGCAGGTACTGCAAGTATGTACTAGTAAAATTTTTTAATTAATGAAAAAACAAATGTAAAAAAGAAAGCTAGGCTCTTAATTGATTCGGGTGCACACCACAGCTTGATAGCAGGTGAGCTGGAGGATGGGTGAACTAACCTTTGGTTTGGAATACCACAAAGGCAGGGAACCCTTCCTGCTATCACCTTCTGTCACTGCCACATGGATCTGCTCACAATTCCCTGAGGTTGCCCAGGGTTCTGTGGGAATTCCACAATCCCCCGAGGTTGCCCACACTTTCATAACAAATGTGTGAGAGTTTGTTCTTGCTGTTTCCTCTCCCAATCTTGAAGAATCCTATTTAACTCTTAAATTTTTGCTCAAGACTTATTTCCTCTGCTTTTCTTAACCTTCTCAGGCAGAGCTCACAAGTATGCACATATGTTCTCATTTATAGCTTTCTTTAATAATGATGATGATGATGATGATGACAACTAAAATATATTGAGTGTATTTGTGGTGCTAATTACTTTATGCATTATCTTATTTATTCCTTGACACATACTGAGGTGGTGTCAGAAGATAAAATATTCCTCAAGCTCCGTGGTGGCTGTTAAGTGGAGAAACCAGATTTTGAAACAAACAACTTTCTAGAAATGATTTAAAACAGCTCATAATGTAAAATTTTACAATGGTAAGTTTTTAAGTGGATGAAGGAGGAAGGCAAGCAAAACTGGGACGATAAAACATTTTCAGGAATGAAGCTACCATAAAAATTCTGGAAGTTCCCTTTAGCTATTCCTCATAGATGTGTTAGTTTTCATGCTGGATTACAATTCTTTTCTTTAAGGAAATAAAATAAAACAGCACACACTTGAATGTTCAGTGATGAAACAAGCCGTGGAAGCCTAAATGGTCAGGGATTGCGCTCCTGCCTGCTGATTAATTTTAATTAAGAAATGAACATTCACATGGGCCTGAATGTGGGGAATCCCTGTGACCAGCTCATGTTCTCCCTAAGGGCAGAATTATAATATGGAAGCCACAGTGTAATTAACTTTCTTGGGAAGACTTGTCAGAAGGAATCAGATGACACCAGGGTTGGGTGCATTTCTTTTCTGTTCCGCATCAATTCTCATTCGTATGGTGGATCCCCCATGCCTAGATTGGTGCCTGGTGCATAATAAATATTCTTACGAAGAAACGGGCCCATGTCCAAGTAGAGATGATTCTAATGACAGACAACAATCTCATTACTTGTCCTCTGCCTCCTACAATGCAGAAAAGTGTTTGCGATGCTTGGCACAGTGTCTAGTTCAGAGGGTCAGCTTAGTGCAGACGGAGTGAAATGAAAGGTTCTGAACAAACAGCTGAAACTGTCAATCTGTCTCACAATATGACACCTACTGTCTACTCGCTCACTGCCTACACTGAGACTGTTTACCCTCTCACAATATACACACAGGTGGTCTATGAGAAAGACCGTAGGATATGAAACAGGAAAGATGTGGCTGCAATTCGAATTTGAAATTCCTTGCTAAATACCCATAGTGATACTTGTGAAATGGTCCTGAAAATGTCATCATTGTGTTAAGATGATGCATTGAGATAAATTAATATGGAAATATTTTTGGACTGATTTCTTAAGTTTCCTCAGGACAGATCTTGGGTTTCAGACATCTTTGTTTCTCTCTGGGATCAGACATGAAACACAGCGAACAAATACATAGGAAGGGATGTGAGATCCTTAATATTCCTCCTCCACCATTGCTTACCAGACAATAGGCCAGAGTGGACAGGATTACCTGCTTTAATTCTCTGAAAAACTTTAACCAGGTTTCTTTTCTGAATCTGAGTGTCTGTTCTCAGCTTCAATCCAGAAATGTTAGAGAGCATTTGGTAAAGATTCAAGAAGTAGAAAACAGAGGGGTTAGGATCCACCAGGAACTTGACGCCCATCCCTCCCCCTGTTTATGTGAGAGCTAATTTAATCCATCTGTAGGAGTGTCTTGGTGTAGTTGTATAAGTTTCTGTCAGTTGAGGTTTACCTGACGTTAGTTCAGAAAAAGGACTTTTATACTATCTGCGTAAACCTATTTATCTTTCCAAGGCTTTTGGATTTTCCACTATTGCTCAGGTCTGCGTGCACCACCTGTTCTTACTACAGGGCCCCTCTGTGCGCTAGGGGAACTCAGCAAGTGGGCAGGCAGTGGGAACGGAAGGAAAGGTTAGGCTGTTTAGACTACAGTTGTGAGCTCACGGATGGGGTTCCTCAAACGTTGGCCTTGTTCTTCCTAATGCCAGTGAGATAGCCCAACCACAGCCCTTCAGACTAGGCTTTGTAAGAAGTTTCCATTTCTTGCCTTGGTGGTTAGGAAAAATCGACTGTCTTTTCTTCCCAGCTGCAACTGCCAGTAATGCAGCACCATCGGCACCAAAGTCATCAGTGACGCCATCCGTACCACCAGCATCACCACCAGAACTACTAGGATCACCTCTTCCTCCTCTTTATCTTCATCCTCATAGTACTAGCATCACCACCACCACCACCACCACCATCACCATCACCAAAACCTAAGCACTATCTTTATTCCCATCAGTACACTGTCATCAGTCTTCAACCTCACCAGGAGAAACCCTCTATCAGATGGATATTATTTATGCTTAGAGGTTTCCTCACAAATGACTTCCCATAGCTATGAGATAGATAAGATTTTGGACTTTGGTTTGCACAAGAGGAAACTGAGGACTGAGACGTTAACCTTCACACACATAGGCAGTGAAGTTGGTAATTAAATCTATAGCTGTCTGATTTTAGAGTCTATGTTTTGAACATCAGACTCTCTTTTGAAGTCTCATAGGCCCTGAAGCTATAATTATAAAGTACTTTCCTCATCTGATTAAGGAGAAGGCCAAGGTTCAGAAAGGCGGAGACACTCTGAGACAAATATAGGAGCAGGGAGAGTGTCTGACAGATGAGATCCAGAAAAAACTGACCCCACCCAGAGCCAAGGAGGATCTCCTCATCCTGATTCCCAGAGCTGATTCCCTTCTGAATGTCTTTTCAGATGAGCTCTCCTTTTTCTCCAGGAAGCACTCCTGCCTGGAGTGAATCTTATCAATTATTATTATTATTATTATTATTATTATTATTATTATTATTATTACTGCCTTTTGTTATCAGGCAGTAAGCATCTGACTTTCTTCTGAGTGAGCTTAAAAGGCTAGACATGTTCATCCTGTCATTTCTGGGCTTAAAGAATGTTTGCCACTTGGAAATACATGATCAATTTTTATTGAATGCATGAATGAAAAAGCAAACACATGACCAGATGAGTGACTGTATGAGGGAATGATAAATCAGGGGATCCTGGCTGCATCTCTTCGGCTATGACATCCTCTCCAGGGCACTTAGTATTTCCATCTACCACATCAGAGGAGCTGGACTTACTAGTCACTAGAGGAATTCCACCTCTTATCTCCAGGCTGGTTTCCTACCATGCTGCTTTCTTTTCAAGGGATACATTCTGTACCCTGACTTCACGTATTGCATAGGAGGCTTTCCTTGAAGGATGGGTTTAAGCAGAATTAGCAAATGTAACCACATTACGTGAGCTGGGTCCTTCTATAAAATGGTGATGGTGTTGCTCACTCCAGTGGGTGTGATGGAGGCAAAGCAATGCGGTACAGTGGAAGTTTCACAGCAACGGCATGTGGCCTTTACAACAGTCGATACTTTCCTAATCTCATCCCATTCCTCTCCTTGTTCCTCTCTTTCCTCCTCACATTCTTTTTCCAAAGCCATTATAGAAGCTAAGGGTTCAGCTATCTACAGAAGCTATAAGAGTTTGAGCATAACAGCTGCATCTAATATTGTAAAACTCACATGTCATCTGGAGCAAAGGGCATACAGGAGTAGATCGGACATATTCCCAAGGAGCTGACAGAGACGGACTCCCCAGTCCCCCAGAAAAAGTCTAAATATCCAAGCAAGAAGAGCCTATCTCATCCAAAGGTTGCAATCCAGGAGCTTCAAGGATACACAACCTACAGAAGTATTTGCTTTGGCATACCAGCGCTTGCAGAAGGTCAAAATTTGTTGCCAATATTAAAAAATTCCAAACTTTAAGAACTCCAGATTTATTATTCTCAAGCAAAAAAATGGAAAATGCGGCTATACAAGGCCCACATTCCCACAGGGATGCACTTGGCCAGATTTGCCCCATTCTAAAAACAAACAACAAACAAACAAATAAAATATTTTTCATGGTTCACCAGTCTCCACTCTTCCCTATAGTTGCTCCAGCACACAGCTAGAAAGGCATTTGTGTTTACCATTGCAAGTGCGTCATTTCACTTGTTCTATTGGAGGAAGAGTTTTCTGTTTTCACATCACTTCCAAAAGTACATTTGTGGGGAGAGGTTTAATAAGGGGGCAATTTAGGTAAAAAGAATTTTTTTCTGTATAGAAGTTGCCTACCCAAGAGACCCATGAAACATATACTTTATGATTCCATGTACGGGAAGCTCAAAAATAAACAAAGCCAATTTATAGAGACAGAGAGAAAATGCCTGTTACCTTGGTGGTAGAGGTACTGCCTGGGAGAGGAAGGAGAGCACTCCCTGGCTAGCTGTAAAGGTCCACATCCTGATATGGGTAGTGATTTCAGGATGAGCACAAGAAGAAGAATTTGTCAAGCCCCATGCTCTACATGTGCATGCAAATCGCATCTCAAAGGAAAGAAAAGAACTTTGACATCGACAAAGTTTTCTTTCTAAACTTGGGTAGTATGTATGTGAGCGTTTGTTATATTTCTGTGAGATTTTCCTGGCTTTCAGAAATATCAATAGCAAATAATGTGACTGCTGATATTAATAATATGCTTCAGTATTCCTAAGTGCAGAAGAATATGCTGGACCACTTCCCTCATCCCTCCCACCCTCCTGGTTCTGCAGGTGCCTGAGTTTGTGCCATCTGATCCAAGCTAGGCTTAGTGAGAAAAATGCTGTAGTAGTGGGATTTGCCCCAGGACACAGAGCATGAAGGAACCAGGGCTTGGGCCAGAACTTTGGTCACTTGACCCAGAAACCATAAGTATTTACGGCATGTCTATTGTGTGCTGGGCACTACAGGAGGCACCTCAGGAAATAAAATGACCACAGTCTCACCTGCACAGCTCACAATCCTTGGACACTGGTAACGGCATACGACCTCAGTACTGACACTCACTCATCTATATGTCAGCATATATGGTAGAACATTAAAGGGCTTAAAAGAGAGTCTTTCATGGGCAAATGGAAGTGATCTTCAGCCAGCCTACACAGGCTCAAGAAGGCCATTAGCCCCAGCATCTTCCCAACTCTGTGTTCAGGGATGGGCATTTGGACATCCTGTCTTCTGCTGCAATGGGAGCATTTACACTGTGGCAAATGGCAAATGCTCCCAACACAAGCCTGGTAAACAATCTTTAGATATCTTGCCATTGTGATTATTATTCTACATCTGTGGGGGTTACGTGCCGCAAGTAAACGGAGGTGCTGGACTGATACAAGTTCCTCTTCAATTTCTCTTCAGCATGCGGCCTCCATCTCCCAGATTCGATTTCCCTCACTGGAAACATTAGAAACCTAACGTCCACCTAGTTCCTAGGGGTGGGTGAGGGGTGTGTGTTTGTGGGGGGCTGGCTGGGTGGGTGGTGGAGGGTGGATGGGAAGCCCATCCAGTGCCCAATCACAGAAGGCAGCGTCAGTTAGTCAGTTCTCACCTCTCTTTTACACTGGACAGAGGTGCTGGGTGTTGCAGCAGAGCCTCATCCAGACCACCCCTCTCCCACTGCTGTGTGGGGCTGTCCCTTAGGAGGCCGAGGAGTTAGTCTTGAAATGCCAGCACTGCAGCTCTATTTGCGCAGCCCAGTGCTGAGGGCAAGGGTGCAGCGTGGGCCAGCTCCTCTGCCTTCTTCCTGGAAATCATCCACGTATGCCCTTTGCCCTCCTCCCTTTTTCTACATGTTTCTTTTCCTCCTGGATAATGAGGCCTCCAGAGACTGGTGGAGGTCTGAACCTCGTTATGGCTCTCTCAGTAGGCCCGCATCAATAAAGGCAGGCAAAGCAGGGAGCTGGGTGGGGGCTGGGGCGGGCAGGCAGCGGGTGGGCGACTGGGGGGGGTGGCTCACAGGCTTTCAGATCCTTGGATTTATTTCACAGTGATTTATAACTGAACTCTTTAGTGCCCAGGGCTCACAGAGGGGAGGGTGGGAATTCGCACAAGAGGTAGGAAAGGCCTCAAGTGGGAGCTTGGCCAGGCCTGGAGGATGGCGACTTTGGGGTGGCCGGGTGGTCTCTCATGCTTTGGGGTGGCGGGGAGGTGGAATGAGTAAAGAAGCGTGGGAGGGTATGCTGATCATGAGTCCTGACTGGTAGGTGGTTGGCAGGTCTAGCTCTCCTGGCCCTGCGACTCTGTGATCTTTCTCTCTATCTGTGCGTCACCTGCCTCGTGAGTCTGATATGCAACATGTGTGCTCCTCTCCATATGCAGTATGTGCACTCCTGGTTGCTTCTGCACAGATTTGCACACCAGGACATTGTGGTTGGTGCCCACATGGGGATTCTGGCTTAGGAAGGGGGAGAGGCACTCAAATGTGCAGGAAACAGATAAAGGAGCCTAGGGCTAGGGAAATGGGCTTTCCTGTGGCTGTGCAGAAAGGATCAGAGGAAAGCAATGGATAGGTAAGAGTGTGCAGGGGAGGAAGTAGAAGCAGGTGAACAAGATATGACAGGGAAGAGAGAGAGATTCTGAAAAAGTAGAGGCACAATACAAGGAAATGAAACTGGAGAGAAAAAGGTAGAAACGGGAAAGAGAGTAGTAGGAGAAGGCAAAAGAGGAGACAGAATGGAGGGGACCCGAAGGCTGGGGTGTATGGGAAGGTGGCAGGGTCTGGTTGGGTCTCCAGGCCAAGAGTGCTGAGTAAGCCCTTGAAACCATGCCCTCAGCTCATCTGAGAAACAGGACACCCCATATCGGGTTCTGTCCAGCTATCCGGGGCTCGATCTATAGCAGCAGGCTGGCAGACAGCAGCTCCCAGCAGCCTGTGCAGAAAGGCTGGTGAAGAGAGACGCAGTGGACCTGTGCCTGTCCCCTCTGCTGCCGCCTCCTTCCCTATCTCTCCAAGGTGTGGAGCCGGTGCCCAGAGCCAAGCTGGGCTCTGAGAATGGTGCCACCCTGGAGGGCAAGAATGGGAGTCATAACCACTCAGGGGGGCCCAACTGAGCAGGTGACACAAGAATAAGGGGGAATGACCACCCTCAGTCAAACTGTGTCTGTCAGAAAGTGAGGAGTCTGTAGTCTTTAGGCCACTCTGTCACACAGGAAGCCCCCAGCATCTACACTTGAATGTGGCTTTGATCACTCCCTCTAGGCCCACGGCAAACCCACAGTGACACTTCTGAGAATTCAGTGTGTATGAGGGCCAACCATGACCCCTCTCTTCTACTGCTGTTTAAGGTTTAAATATCATTTCTACACACAACACCAGGCACATGAACACAGGATGTGTCCCATAAACAACAGGTGTGACTCATGAGTGCACTGCTTTCCACCCAACAGGTAAAGCACAAGAAAGTATCTAGAGATGGAGACTACCATACGGTACACGTCTGGATTGAGGGCACCAGAGAAACTAAATAGAATTATCCTTTGAGTGTGGACTTGACAGTCAGGCAGACACTAGGCTGAAATTTCACGCTTCACTCCCTAACAGAAGTGCTCTTGATGCCTCAATTTCCTTATCTGTAAACCAGGGACATGAGGACTCTTTACCAGGCCATCATCACTACTCAGGAGGACAATAAATAAAGGGCCCTTAGCATGGGTCCCGATGAGAAGTATTAAATGAAGTGTGATGATGAAATGAAGAAATGCAGGCACAGCAGTGGCATTTCCCTTCCCCTTAGCCACAGGAATGGCCTTGGTCGCTCACCTGCACTCGTGTGGGGTTCAGCCAGTGAGGGATGTCACTCATGGTCACATTCATTGGCAGGAGGATGGACTCGCTGTTGTGGTCCAGGCACGAGGTGGTGCACTCTGACCCTGAGGGGAAGCACAGTACAAGTTGGAGGCTCACGCCACCTCCACTGCCCATAAGCTGACCTCCCTGCTGCTCGTTGGTTCCCAGTGGAGTTGCTTGTCCCATCCCCAGGACAGTGGAAAGGGGTGAGCTCCCTTGTCAGGGCCAGCCCTGGTCTCCTTGACTCCGTTCACTTGTCTCAAGTCCAGCTGGCAGACACTTCCACCATCACTGACCCTGAATCCAGTCTGGCCATGCTTCTCCTCTGTTCCAAAATGCCCCCGACACTCCCCACATCTAGGATCAAGTCAACTGCCTTTGCCAGGCCTTCAGTGCTTCCCACGGTCTGGTCAGCCTCCTCTCCACTCGCCGTCTCCACGCCTGGCTTGGGCAAACTACACACAGTGGCCTAGGAGTCCTATGCTTTGCCACCACTGTGCTTCTGTTTCTATTCATCTGATTTTCTGCAACATCCACCTTGGCATTCCCATGACCAAACCCTACCAGTTCTTTAAGACCTGGTTTGAGGGTGGCAAGTTTTGGGCCCAGGTTTCTGCAGCTGGATGGGAGCACAACCTCTCTTGAATCCCGACTGCATTGGGTTTCCCTCCCCGCTCTCTGTTGGGCACTCACAAGCCTCAGCCCAGTGGTCCCTTCCCACCACCTGCTTCCTGCACAGTTAGTGTTGTGCTAGGAGGGCATGGATGTTGGCATTCATCTCTGAATCTGACACTCAGAGAGAGCTCAGTGAGCCTCAGTCAAGCGATTGGTGTGGACATAAATACAACACCAACTTATTTTTTCATCCCCATGTTTCTCTTTCATTTGGGCTTTTATCTTTGTCCTCTCCTGCACCTCCCAGACCCTCCTTTAACTACCACATTCCTAAGCATTCTCTATGCCTCAGTCCCTGTGCCACTTGCTCAGAGAAGACCACCCCCTCCCAGGTGCCCATCCAAGCATCTTTCACATGGCCATTTTCCATCTGTTGGGAACCACTGCACTCTTCTTTGCTGGGTTTTAAGTGTATGGGGCCAGCAGTATCTTGCTCCTCCTTCTAAGTCCCAGCACTGTGCATGGCAAGTGGTAGACATTCAAAAGCTGAAATTGAAAAGAGTGAAAAGAGACAATGTGTGAATGAGTGGCTCAGTGTCTGAAGAAATGAGAGTAGATGGGTGGATGGATGGATGCCAAACAGGCATTTAGATGTCTTATGAAGGAGAAAGTGAGTGTGTAAATGGATTTTCAAATAAACAAAACACGGCACAATTGATAGCGTGAAATAGGAAGAAAATGGCTAAAGGGGAAGTGGGAAAGGGAGGGGAAAGGAAAGAAAGGAAAAGAAAAATGTGAAAAAATGAAACAAAGTCTTCGTAAATAAGGAAGGGTGAAAGGGGTGAAGGGAGGGCAGGGATAAGGGAAAAAATATGAACGAAGACCTATGTTGTAAAGGTACAAGATCCCAGTGATGAATGTAACTGTATTGTTTGCTTTAAATGGACCAAGCAACTTAATGGGGGGAAAATAAAATAATCTAATAGTGCCCTGATTAGGCAAATGCTACTATTATGCCTTTTTGCACCAACTCTAAAGAAATAAATGAAGGCCCTTAGCAATCCTTCTGATCTCATCTCCCACTCATTCCCTCCCCAAAGTGCAGATGATTTTCAGAAAGGCTGAGAGCTGCTGATTCATCATGTTATATTGAAGTTATTTTTACAGCCTCTCATGGTCTTTTGTTTCATGTTTAATAAAGTCATGTTAAGCTACCAGTATGTAAAAAGAAAATTGTGCAAAATAAAGCTAATTGTATTTCTTTTATACTAAAAGAAAAAAAACTAAGCAAAAGGAAGGATGAAATAGCTAAAGGGATGAAAACGAATCTGGGAATGGGTAAATGAGGGGATGTATGATTAGCAGGGGTGGGTTTGCATGCGCAGAAGGTGCAGGAACTTCGGGGAGAAAGCAATCAACTCTCAGGCTACAGGCTGTAAGTTGCCTGGAACCTGGCTCATTCATTCTCCTCCTGACCTCACCCATTGCCATGGGATATTCCCTCAACTCCAAAGAGGGACTCATTCATGGGGTCTGATTCTGACCAGACCCTGAGGAGGTCATTCCTGTCGCGGAGAAAGACCACTCTGAACAATGAATGGAGAACTGAGAGTGAGCTTCTTGACACATCCTATGTGTTAACCATTCCAAAAAACCCACTTCACATATTCATTATGTGTGTACACACACACACACACACACACACACACACACACGTACATGTGCACAGTACATAAAAGGTGCAATCTAAATCGTATCTTCATATTCAAATTTTGACAAATTAAATACAGTGAAAGACACACTGCCATTAATCCTCCACAAAACACTTCCTCTCACTTTGAATGCACTGATCCCAGTGTTCTTGCTCCTTTCTGCAGCAGTTTACATATACATACGGCCCTACATGTGTGATCTATCCAGAGCCCTTCCTGTTGCCACCTTAGTGTCTTCTTCAGTCTAAGAGAAGCATAAGGTTTAAAGAGGGGGAAAGGGTGAGGTGAACAGTCCAGAACAATGTCTGGAACATCTGCACTTGAAAGACAGGAAAGTGCAGCCCAAAATAGGGACCACCTCTGGCCTTGCAGGGTGATTTTCCTCTGTCACTTCCATTCTCCAGAAATCCAGCCCTATGAGACAGGTGTTATGGCATCCACTTCACAGGTCACTCAGCCAAGGGGCCCAGAGACCAAGACGATACCAGTGGGGAGCAAAAGGCCATAGATCGCTTAACACCCATAGCTCGTCTCCTGACTTCCAGACCCGGGATTGGCTAAGACGTGGCTGTACAGGCAGGAGAGAGTAGGCAGCAGAGGAAGGGTAGAGAGGAGAGAAGAGAAATGGAAGAAAAGCAAGAAGACAGAAAGGAAAAGTGATCAGAACATTCCCAAGCAGGCAGAAACTTGGTCATGTATGGTTTATCATAAGGTAGAATCTAAAGAAGATTTTAAGGTGCAAATGTGAGACAAGCTGTGATGATAAAATGCTTTTGGAAAAAAAAGTAATGCAGGGTATCTTTCCAAAAGAATTAAAAGAATCATACCACAGTGATATATGCACACCCATGTTTATAGCGGCACAGTTTGTAACAGCTAAAACTTGGAAACAGCCCAAGTGTCCATCAACTGAAACTGGATAAAGAAGATGTGTTTGTTTTTGTAAAATGGAGTACTATTCAGCCAGAGAAATAAGAAACTAGAGTAATTTATAGCCTAATGGATGTATACTAAGGCCATACTCTTAAGTGAAATAAACAGGACACACATATTCGTTGTAAATACCAAATAGTTTCTCTGGTGTGAAAAACTAAAAATGTAAATAAGGTTCAAATGGTATAACTGATAGTGTGAAAGAGGAAGAAAATGGCTAAAGGGGAAATGGGAAGAGGAGGGGAAAGGAAATAAGGGAGAAGAAAAAATATGAAATAGGAAAAAATGGAAACAAGGTCTGTAAATAGGGAAGGGTGGAGGGTGTAAAGGGAGGGTAGGGGAATGGGAAAAAAAATAAGAACCAAGATACATCATGTAAAGGTACAAGATCCCAATGACGAATGTAACTGGACTGTGTACCTAAAAAGTACCAAAAAACTCAATGAAATTTTAAAAAGTGACGCAGTGTCTGAGTGATAGACAAAGGCTCTGTTATCCCAAGTGCAAGGCATAAAAGGGAAAATGTGATCAAGGCAGGAGGCACGGGCTGGCTGTCCTCTGCAGCTCCTGTCTGTCTGTCTGTGTCCCCCCCCGCCCCTGGGCTCCCTTCCTCCACGCCTTAGCTCTTGGGCCTCAGAATCAGGCCGCTGTGTTGTGATATATGAGCCATAATTGGCATCATTACAGAGTGGTGATCTCACCAGGCCCCCACCTCTCCTTCCCCAGAGGCGCAGGGAGGGTGGCAGCCAGTGGCAACAACCACGACCTTATGCAGGCTCATAACTGCCACACAAGCCTCCCCTGGCTGCTTGGGGAAGGACCACAGAAAGCCAGGCTGGGGCACGGCAGAAGTGTCCTCCAGCGCCCATTCCTAGCACCCTGGCCTGCACACACCTTCCCCACTTACAAAGCCTCTGACACACTGCTCTCCATGGTGAAGCAGGCTCTCCCCAGGGAAAGGCTCAGCCTGGGGCCCATGAGGGGCTTTGGAGTGAGCCAAGAGGGGTGGGAGGGAAACCTGCAGCCCCTTCATTTCTGTTTCCCTCAGGCCGTTTGTTTCCCTCTTGCTCTTTCTGTCGTTCCCACATAGATCCCCACTCTAGTCGGTCACCTGCCATGGACCGTCACAGTCACAAGATAAGCCAGGCAGGTGATCCTGGAAACATGAGATTTTGGGGAACGGAGACAGACCCAGGTTTCAGTATCACACAGATTTCTTTCCTTCTGTGCTTTGACCTTGAAGAAACTCAACCCGTAAGGGAATCCAACCGTCATGCATGCCCCTTTCACTAGCTCTAGACTATTCTGAGGGAGGGTGGAGAGCCAGGCACAGGAGCTCATTTGCAGGTGTTGTGACAGGTAATCCAATGTATGCACAGTAGGGCCATGAGATACATTTGTGCTTGGTCTACTCTCTGGGCATCTTTCTGGGTTTGATATGTTTGGGGCATGTGTTTGTTCTCCTGATGCCTATGTACTTATGTATTGTGTATGTTTGTGCCATGTGTAGGTTTCTGTGCTACATATGCATACACGTGTCGGGGTGATGCGATTGTGTGGTATGTCTTTGGTTGCCATGGAGGTCACAAGCATGTGTGATGTGTGTTTGATGCTGTTTGTGGTTAGGAAGCATTTCTGTGTGTGATGGATGTTTGCCTTCTTATATGTGACTATATTTATATATATGTGTCAGTGAGTATGGACAGGCAGCAAATTCATACACACACACACACACACACACACACACACACACATACTTTTTTTTTTAACTTAAGCAGATTTTTTTCTCACAGGGCTACTCAATGCCAGTCATGAGTGTGCCTGAGTGTTCACTTGTGTCTTCCGATTGAGCTGGGAATAGGAACTTCATCACAGACACAGGCATCCAGATCTAGGCCCACCTGCCAGGAATGCTGGTGATGAGGAAATCTTGGCTTTGGGATGGGGCACCCAGTGTTACTCGCCATGGTAGCACTGTGTTACCTATCATGGTAACACTGTTGCCCCACATTGTGGAATATCTGTATCAGCGGGCCTACAACCCTTCTCTTTGCAACCCTCCTGACTGGGCTATTTGAATTGATGGCTCTGTAAGATCTTAAAGTCCCTTGTGATCATAAGAGAAAGAAATTACAGGCTTTGGTGTTTTCTGACTTGCAAAAGCAACAATCCCAGACTTGGGCCAGAGTGTTGATTCCTACTTTAAGTCCAGGTCAAGATCTCCTGCTACTTGAGCTTGTGCCTCTCCATCTTCAAACAGAGGTGATCAGGTCACAAGCTCCTCCACACCCCAACCCCAGGCCTTTCTGCTGGACCTGTGGTGACAACACTTGGTGTACCAAGTAAGGAACATGCTGGCTCAGAGCAACTCAGATAACCTGCACCAGAAATCCCTGGCAATTAACAATAAATCACACTGGCCATGCAAAAGGTCATTCGATTTCCTGGGCTTTTTATCATGATCAATTAGAGAATCAGCTCAAGAGGTCAGCATCACCATCCTTAACTGAGGTTAGACCTTGTGCATTCCAAGTTCCCCAGAAAGCCATGCAGCTTATGATTAAAGCATCTTTCCAGCTGCTTGGTTCAAACCAGGCAAGTACCTGGCCTCAGGTCCCAAGTTGTCACGCCTCCTTGCTGTGTGCATTTCTTGAACTGGCCTATCACTGCACAGACAGCATTTTGAAAGTGCAATTTGTCCTCCTCTGAGAGATGATGGAGAGAAGCCGGGCTTTGGAATAGTACAGGTACCAGGGTGGAAATAGGGCATATTCCATGACCCCTTTGAATTTCAGGTGGCTCACGTGTGTCAAAAGTTATTGAGAAGGGAGGAAGTAATGTCCTTCGAGTATGTGATGCAGGTCTGACCCATGGCAGACCCTCATGAATGCTAATACGATGTAAATTTTACATTTAACAATAAGACTGGCAGAGCTTCCCTAAATATGAGGTATGCTTTTATAACTCTAGCTCCTTAGCCACATGGGTGGGTTCCTCTCTCTGAGAAGAACGGCATTTCTGGCTGACAAGCTCTTTGAAGTCATTGGGTAAGCAACCCTTCCTTTGGAAGCCCCTGGCAGCTTTTCTGTACCCACTCTTCTTGGTTTGGCCAATGTCCCACAGCTGACTACCTCCCTGGGAAGACCAGGTCTAGCCTCACTCCTCTGTTTCCCTCCTGCCCGCACAGAACTTCACATGGAGAGGCGCTCAATGGCCCACCTGAGCAGCAGCCTCGAGTTGCTGGAAGGACACGAGCTTCCCATCGCTCCCCACACGGCCCCTCATACCTATGGCATAGCCGTCTGGGCACTGCAGCTTAAGGTTGCTGTTGAGCTGGTTTGGGGTGGAGCACTGGCCCTGCATCTCCTGGCAGACATGGAAGGAGCCGCTCCAGGTGCCATCTTTCCGGCAGTGGATAATGTTGCTCCCGCGTCCCTGAACACCACAGAAACACAGTGAGGACCGAGGCTGCCCTCAGGACAAGCCTCTCAGAATAACGAAAAATCAAGTTCTCACATCCCACAGCTCTGAAAGGGGCCCCCAATATGATTTCTTACCCATGGGCTGACAGTTATCCTGAAAGAGAGGTGTTGTTAGTATCTCCACTTTATAGGTAGGGGAAACCAAAGACCCAGAGTACACAGAAAATTCTTCGCAGGCCTTTTAATCAGTCCGTCTCTCAGGTTTCCTAAATCCTAGCTCAGCGATCTTTCAGAAAATTACAGTTAGAGCAAGTATAGCTTGGATTTGCTTTATCTAGTATGTTGTTTCCCATCAGCAACATGGCTGCCCACTTACACACCTGGCAAAAGTGTGTGTTCCAGGACTATTCCTTAAGAGACAGGCACACACTACAGCTTGTTTACTCTGAGTCCACAAGAATGCATTACATTAACTAAGTAAACCGCACCCAGCTGAGATGCTGTCTCTTCCAAGGGCTTCCTTCCCCCTCCTTCCCTTCTCTTCTCTTTCCCTTTTCTTCCCTTCCTTCAGCAATGGCACCGAGAGGGTGGTATGGGGGTCCTTCTCTTTGTGTGTCCCGCCCAACTCTTTAAAATATGAAATGTATTGTTTCTCAATCTTCTGCAAAGTATCAGGCAAACGCAGTTGGAAGACCCATCCCTTTTCTCAGCCCCTTCTAAACTCCAAGGACCTGATGGGAGGTCCTCCACTGTAGGTGTTTCAGAACTGCCACCGAATTCAAGAACTCTTCCTTAGGGCCCTTTCTGCATCCAGCTCTGTGAGGCACAGGGGCCAAGCATCGGATCCAGTGAAATGGCAGGAAAGGAGGGCATAGGCCCAGCCACCCCCTTTAGCGCGCCTATGCCCATTGACACCAAGTCAAGGCGGGCAGGTGCCGTGATTCTTGGGAAGGATCAATGGTTGTGAAGGCTCAAGCCTGGAAGGCCTCTTAGAAAAGGTGATATTTGGAAAAAAGTTTTCAAGAGTTGAGAGAATCACAGGTACAAAAGGAGCACAAGGACATTCCGGAAGATGGAAGGGTGTGCACAAACAGAAGGAAGAGTGAGCAGTGGAGAGACGGAGATGACTGCTTAAGGGAAGAAGAAAGGCAGATGGAAAATTGGATGGGGTATGAGGTCTTCGGTGCCGCACGAAGGAGTCTGGAACGTACCTCAAAGGAAAGAGGGGGCGTGGATGGACTCAGAGCAGGATCCACCTTCCAGAAGATCTCAGAACAGGCCTCATCTGCTATCCCTCTTTGAGGCTTACAGTAAGATGAGACACTCAACATAAATCCAGAGAGCTGACTGCTCCTCCCGCTTAAAATTCTGGGCAGTGGCTCCTGCTCACCTTTAGCTTCCACTCTGATGCCTGAACCTTCCCCAGAGCCTTTCCTCTGCCTCGCTTTCCCACTCACTGCTCTTCACAACACTGCCACCAACCCTCGACTTTGGTTTCCACCACCTGCGGTTCTGAAGGCACTATCTGGCACGACCCTTCCTGGCCCCATTCTGCAGAGTGTGCGACCTCCACATCCTTGTCCTATGTCTTTGTTACCAGCATTCCCCACTAGTCACAAGCTTCTTCAGGCCCAGGACAGCACTCCATTCACCTCTGTGTCCTCGGAGCCTTCCATTCAAGGACTGGTTGTTTAACCAAAGATGGGATGAGTAGGTGGAGAGGGATGGAATTTTTAATAAGAAAAGCGATGAATGCATAGTTGAAGTAAATGCATAAGAAAGTAAGTGAAGAAATGAATAAAAAGGGAATAAACGATGAGTGTGTATATGAAGAAATGAATAAACTCTTTCAAATGGTTGATGTAGGCTGGAGCTGCCGTATCTGGGAAAACAGCTGCAAGGAGACAGGATTCAGAAGGACAAGGGGCCCCTCTCTGGGTATCTCCTCAACAAGCAGCAAGAGGTATGGCTGCAGGAGAAGCCTCCCTGGCCATGGGAGAAGGTGGCCCATAAGGAGCATGCAGCTGTGGGTGACTTGCAGAGTCACGCTCAGCACTTCTGTGTGGGCTCCTGGCAAATTTATGGACTTCATGTGGCTTTAGAGAACCCAGACTCTCCCTGTCGGAGCCCCAGGCTCTAGGCCCCATGATTCTGCTGGGCCCTCGGGGGAGTAGGAAATTGACCCCAATTTCCTGGAGCCTTGGCCTGGGCTGATGATGCATTTGGCCTCCAGCCTCTGAAGGGCTGCAGACCTCAGCACTACGTGGGCCAGAGCTGGCTGGAGAGCTGGGTTTGCAGCAGAAAATGTATTTGAGCTCCCTGGAATTTGCTCAGGGAGTTTCAGATGGGGGAGGCCTCACCACAGAAGGTGGGAGCATAAGGTACTGCTCCTGCTGCCTCCGCTTTCTTTCTCTCCTGCCTGGCTCATCTGATCCTTTTCTGCTGCTAAATCTACCTTAACCAAAATAGGATGGGGACCCTCTGTCTAGAAACTTTAGCTTGCTGTGGGCCAGGACTTCGGGGCTTCCATGATGGGACCTACAGGACATTTCCAGCTCCACCTCCTGACCTCAGAGCTCCTTCCTCCAGGAGAACCACCTGTCTCCCCAGTGCGCTTCTTTTTCTTGCCCACCTCTGAACTGTTGCCTGTGCTGACTCTGGAGCCTCTGGATGTTCAGAGCCTACTTCTGAGCTCCACCTGGGTGCCTTCAGCATTGTCCCCACCTGGTGCAGGTGGTGAATGACCTTGCCTAGGGGCTGACTGAGTCTAGGTCAACCACAAAAGATCCGATGATGATCCTGAGGCTCTGGTCCCAGAAGAACAGAGACCAATTTTGTGGGTGTGGGGGGACTGAACCAAGTCGATGTGTTTCACTGAAAAGATACATTGTTGTACGGTAAGGTATAATCTCTCTCACAAGGGCTGACCATCCTTTGTCAAAACAGTTTGCCTCTGTGCCTTTGATTCTGTCAGAAGTCACATACTCTTTCACTTCCTCCCTCTTTAGCCACCTAGATATCTGGACTGTCAAATACTTATTAAATATCCAATGTCCTGAGACTCATCTTAACATGCTGCCTGAACAAAAATCATTTGTTTTACAAATTGGGAAACTGAGACTCGGAAAGGAAGGGGAAAGGTGAGTGTGTGAAAAGTGCTTGTGCAATGGTGAAGAGTGTGGACTTCAGTGAAACTGCTTCAGTTCAAAGGTCACCACCACACCCTCCCAGGTATATGAACTTGGGAAAGTTCATTCCCTTCCCTGTGCCTCAGTTTTCTTGACTGTTAAGAGAGCATGGAATCCGCCACATAAAGGAGGTGTCTAGTGGATTTTGACACCCATTTATGCTAAGTGTTTGAAGACACACACACACACACACACACACACACACACACATGCATGCACACACTAGTCTGAGTGTCAAAGGGACAGGGTCTGCAGAATCCAGCCAGTGTTGGTGCACTTCAGAAAGGACCATAACCCAAAGCAGGAAGCAACACCACCAAGTCCCTGTGAAGGCCAATGTCAGAACCTCATCTCCTGACAGCAAGCCTCTGCACCTTCAGTGCAATGGAGGAAGTGGGGCAAAGGGAGAGGGAAGGAGAACGAGACCCTTCCTAAGTAGAAATGGAAACCAACACAACAGTAGACCAATAGTACTGACAATAGGAGACACAACAGTAGTGGTGGCACCAGGGCCAGCAAGATCCAGGCAGTGGGTAGCAGGAGACGAGGAGTCCAGCTTCCGAGGCAGCCTGACCTAATAACAGGAGTCCCCATCCCTCACTTCCTGGTTTTGTAACATGGAGCCCTGAACCTGCACTTCCTAGTCTGTAAAACAGGACAGCCACGCTAGATGCTGTGGGACGTAAATGAAGCCATTGGCAGTAAGTGTGGGGCTTGGGGACTGGCTCACAGTAAGTGCTCACTAAACCGCGACTGCTGTCAGTCTACTCTCTTCTGGGTCAGTGTCCTCACAGGTGCTCGCTTCCTCCAGGTAATGCAGCCTCAGCACTGAGAATGGGCACAGAATGTGGCTTGTGCTGTGCCTTGGTGTGGAGACTTGGCTTATGACCTGGCTCTGCCCATAACTCATGGGACCCAAAGTGAGTCCCTGTCTTTTCTGAGCTTCAGTGGCCCTAACTGCAAAGGGGGTGGTTTGCATCAGGGAGTCTCTGAGGTACCGTCAAGCTCTAAGAGCGCTGGCTCTGTGATTTTCTGCCGTCCTCTAGGAAGCCTTCCTCTGGGTGCACGGGTGTGCATTTATCAAGCCTGAAATGAGGCGCTGCTCCTGCCTGTGCAGGTACCGTCCCTATGACAGCTATGCTGCATCCACGGCATAGCCTGCACAGGCAAGGCCAGCACCACACCACTGGTGACAGGAGGGCTCTCGCAGCCACCCTCTGTGACTTGTGCAGCCAAGGGTGTGAGTTGCTGATTCTATACTCAACTTCTCTGGCTCTGATAAGTTGCTGAAACCCAGCACTGGATGCACTTCTTGATCTACAAAGCACGTGCAGCCTTTGTCCTTCCCTGCTGCAGGAATCTCTTCAGGCCCTGTCCCCATCCCACAGCTGGCTGCTCCTCTAATCACCTGCAAAGCCCCCATGGTGCTTCTCACTGCGGGCTGGGCCTGAGTTATCACCTCAAACAGCTCAGGAGTGTCTGAGCTGGATTAAACCCCCAGACAATTAGCACCTCCCAGCTGCCTGGTGACTTCCTGCCCTGTCCTTTGCCACAAGCCTGCCCTGGAAATGTTTAGGGGCCATGGGAAGAGCAAGGGTGCAAAGTCAGAGCCCTGTCTACCAACTCTGAATCAACTCGTGGATCGCTACTGAGCCTCCTCCAGCCTTCCGTTCACGTCTGTAAAATGGAGATATTGTTTCCTTTCCCAGGATTTATGATGAGTTGTGCAGAGGAGAGAGTCTGCAGTACAAACTTGGTGCTCATAAAAACACTCAAAGTGGGGGATTATTATTATAGTTCTCCACCTTGGCTTAAAAGGACAATGGCACTATAAATGCTAGAGCTGAATTGTCAGATATGCTAAGTGTTGCTATTTACACAGAAATTTGAATTCAATGAAGTAAATGCTATTTAATATTTAGTTGCTGAGTCACTGTAATCGTGTTTCCAGCACTCCATGGTCATGTGTGACCAATGGCAGAACGCAGATGTGGAATACTTTCACCAGAGCAGAAATTTCTACTGGGCAGTGCTGGTCTAGAGACGCTAAGAGGCACACTTATTCTATAGGTTGAATTGAACAAGAGACCAGGTTTCCCTCCAGCTCCTACTGGTCTCCCCGCACCACTCCCTGCCCTTGTTCAAGGCAAGTGCCCACCCCTTCTCTGAATTTCTGGAGCTAGCCAGCAGAGGGCTAGCCTCCAATCTGTGGCCTTTGTTTCTCTGGACTTCGGGAGCCCACTTGGAGCATCAGGGATTTTCTCCACTGGAATGACTATAAAAGCGGGCTAGTTCATTTATGCCTTCCCCGGGCTGCCATGCTTGGTGGCATAAGTTGCATCCTGTGCTCAACTCCAGACTTATTTTCTTTGCCTCATTTAAAACTCACAAAAAACTATGAGGAAAGTAGTATTAGTTGCCCTCCTCATTTTATACACAAGGAGACTAAAGCTTAAAGAGTTAACTAATTTGTCCTCCAGCTACTAACTGATAAAGTCAGGATTTGAACCCAGACTCCATATCCAGCATTTTCCGACCTCCTATGAAATGAGGAAAGTAGAGATTTTATTTATTAATTAGCTTTTAGTGGCAGTAGGAGGGAGTATACAAATCTCCCCTGCAATAAACTCTGTCTTTTCTGCCAGGATCTGGATCTTGTTTGGAAAACAAAGAATTTCCGCTCCTTACAAGCTGTTTGTCTAAAGAAGCTCTGGGCCCTATGGCTGTGCCGTGTTTACAGGCAGGGAGAGGGGATCTGAGGTGAATACTAGCTTTGGCTCTCAGGCCCCTGGTCTGAGGGTAGAGGAAATTCACTTTCAGTACAAACTAGAAACGTCAATTGTGTTAGGAGCCTGCTTGGCATGCTTCCCTTCATTCTTTCAGCCGACAAGCAGCACCCTGCTTCTCCGGGTCCAGCCTCGGCACCCACTGCCAAACAGAGCTGCTTGAGTCGTCTGATAAATTTACATTTTCCTCTCCTTTAAATACAAACTGGCCATGAAAGTTCCTTGGCAGGCCCCAGGCAGACTGGGTTTCAGTTTGATAGCATGACCACGGCCAGAAGAGTATTTGGCTCAGCAGTTTGTAGAACTGTTAGCAACAGTTTTATGTAAGGGAGGGAGAGGGAAGCAAACCAGCCTGGAAGAGATCATGGTCATCGCTGGCCGTTGTTTGTTCCGGCACAGGCTCCTGTGCCCTGGCAGTTACCCAGGAGTGTGCACCAGCACCCACGGGTGTCCCCAGAAGCCTGCACTTGCACAGCCAAGGATTTTCAGAGGGAGCCTACTGAGCTTAGCCTGTGCACTCCTGGGGGCCCCTGGGTGCTGACTCAGACTGAGCTGAGGCCACCGTGCCACCCTGAGTGTAGAGGAATCTCTGTGAGTCTTGGTTTTCTTATCTGGAAAGTGAGAAAACTGGCCTTGATGTTCACCGCCACCCTTTCCCAAGCCCTTAATCCAGCTGTTGCTTCCTGACGACCTACTAAGTGCTGAGCACTGTCCTGAGTGCTGACGGCACCTGACTGATTTAAAATTCACTGAAGTATGGCACAGCCTGGTATGGCGCGGGGTGGTGAAAGATTCAGACGATGGATAGGTCGTGAGGCCAGTGCTGTGAAGCAGGGCATCCCGAGGGGGGATGCAGCGGGGGGATGATTAGAAAGCACAGGAAGGGCACCCCTCAGATCTACGTGTGGAGCACAGTGAAGGGTCAGGCAACTGGAAGAGGTGAAAGGACTGGTTAAGACAAAGGATGCAGAAAGAAGGGGATCAGCCTCACTGGGGATGGTCAAGGGGTGTAGAACCTGCCCAACGGACAGGGGGACTCTGCATCCTGAAAGGATGCAAGCAGAGGCATTGCCACCATCAGAAAGGAGACACACAGGAAGCTTCATGGTGGCTCATTAAAGAGATAAAGGTGGCTGGGGTTAGGGTGGTGGCACTGGAGACAGGAAGAGCAGTTTTAGATATTTTGAAGGGAAAATGGTAATGGCTTAGATGTAAGGAAAGAGAGAAGGAGTTGAGGATGGCAGACTAGCTGCACCTGGCATTTGGAGAGTCATACTAAATAACAAAGTCAATCAAGGCCAGTTGAAGATGAAATCTGTGCTGGGACTTAGCCGTCTGGCCTCCACCTGGACGATGATCTTTTGCATCTTTGGGTTATCAACGCTAAATGATGGCTCCTCTTGCCTTTCATTTTCCTTTCCAATTCTTGATTCCCTACCCATTTTATTGAGTGGTGAATGCTAGGTGTGAGGATGTGGAAAAGTTCATCTACAGAACTCCTCAGCAGAAGCTGCCAGGACCTTCTCTTAATTACATGTGGCTGGAGATGAAATTCAAACCCTCCCAGCTCCTCACTTCCCTTTCTTCCACGGTGAACTCCAAACTGCACTTCTTATCTAAATATGGGCACTTTCTCTCTATGCTTCGGGAGCCAACTGATGTCTAAAGATAGCGGTAGTCTTGTAGCCTTAAATATTTCAAGGATCAGTGTGGGTGGTGATAGTGATAGAAAACTGAAAAAAAAAACTGGTCAGAATCACTTAATTGATTAATTTCACATTCTGGGAATCCATGTATAATTTCCTGTGTAAAGTTCCAATGCTACAATATGCTCAAAATTAAGGATCTCTGAACAACTAAAACATGATGTTGTAGGGAGAGAAATGAGGCTCAGAGAAATTGCAAAGGAAGCTAATTAGTGATGTTGCCATTCTACAGTCCAAGCCTAGGTAGATAGCAGGCTGGAGAAAGTGGCTGCTGCAATATAGTCTGGTCTTTGGTGAGCATAGAGGAGAGGGACCAGGGTACCAATCTGAGGCTCAAGGAGGCTTACCTGGGAGGCGTCGCTGTCCTCACACTTGATCCTACACTCACTGTTGAACTGGAAGCCATTAGTGCACTGGTAAAGCCCATGGAATTTGGGTGGAGGTGGCTCACACGTCACAGGAACACAAGCTGCCTCCTGCCAGCTGCCATCCTGGGTACACTGCGTCTTGAAGGCCCGTCTTCAAGAAGGAGAGGAGAGAAGAGACAGCTCACAACCACATGGTCAAAGCCACACCCTCCCAAGACACCACTGGCTTGCCTCACTGTTGTCTTCCTATTCTCGATTCCCTTCCTGTCTCAACAGGTGGTGTGGGGTTGTATAGGGATCAGGGGAAAAGCATTCATACAACTCTTTCCCCAGAGCAGATAGAAAAGTCAGACTCTCTCAGTTGTATGTGGGTTGAGATGAAACTCAGGTCCCACCAACAATTTGACCTCCCCTTTCCTTGTAAAGTGTGCAGATGGGTGCTGGCTCAATGACAGTATGTGTACCCACAATGTATTAAACAACTGCTATGCACAAGGTTTGTTTTTTTTTTTCCCAGTACTGGTGATTAAACCCAGGGGTCTTCACACTGAACACATTTACAGTCCTTTATAATTTTTATTTTGAGACAAGGCCTTGCCAAATCTCCAAGTTGCCCAAGCTGGGCTGGAACTTGTGGTCCTTCCACTTCAGCCTCCCAGAGTGCTGGGACTATAGGAATGCACCACCCAGAAGTATCTTTAAAACCCCTTTGCACATGTATCCTCATTGATTATTCACAACAACCTGATGTGGAAATTGTTCTTATCATCTTCACTTGGCTATTGAAAAATGCCAGAGAACTGAAGTCATCTGTCTGAGATCACACAGGCAGTTTGCAGTCAAGACAGAACTTGAAGTTAGTTGTATTTGACCAAAACCTAAAGTTATGTGTGCTTCCCACAAAACAGGATGGGATGACTTGGGGTGGGGGTCAGCAAAGCAATGAGTGTTTCCTTCCAAAGAGGCAGTCAGATCTGACTCTGTTCCTTCCCAGAGCTTATGAGTTTGCTCCCAGCCCCACTTACTTCTTTGACTTCCGAGAGGAGCCAGGCACATGGTATCCAGGTTTGCACTTGTACTTGCAGAAGGAGCCCACCTTATGCTTGTTTTCACGGCACCGGCCTGTCTGGAGGTCTGCGTTTGGTACTGGGGGTGGGGCGAGACACATGAGCTCACACAGGGCCTCTGGGAAGGACCACAGCCCATCTTCCATACAGGTGAGGAGGCTGTTGTTGCCTGAGAGACACAAATGGCAGGACTGTGAAACAGGGGAGCCCCTGACAACTAACGCATAGGTTGCCCAGGTTTTAGCTGACTTGACCACCATGAAAATCTCCCAGGTAGAACTCCAACTCCTTCCACTTTTATAACTGAGGATTATAGGGAGCTCCAGAAAGCACAGAGAAAAGGAGATTCCAACTTAGGAATGAACTGCCCCATACCTACAATGATCTAAATTCTAAAGCTTCTGAGATGGCTAAAATCCAAAATGGTGCTCCAAAGGGCTCATCATTATGAAGGCTTGCTAATGGGCTTTTGGGAAATGTTTGGATCATGAAGGCTCTGACGTTTCTGTGTACTACTTCCCTGATAAGACTATGCTTGGTATATTATTTGGAGGTGGGGGAATAAAGAGGTGGAACTTAGTTGAAGGATGTGAGTCCCCAGCCCCTTCTTCTCTGGTTCTTTTCCTTTTTCTCTGCTTCCTGGTTGTCAGAAGATGAGCAGCTTTTCTGCACCAGGCTTTCCACCATATTTCTGCTTTACTAAGGAGCCAAAAACAATGCAGCTAGCCAACCATGGACTTAAACCTCTGAAACCATGAGCCCAAATAAATCATCCGTCCTTTCAATTATTTATGTCATGTATTTTGTTGCAGCAATGGTAGGTTGCTTAACACAACTTCTCAACCTCTTAACCTGCCCAGAAAAGAAATCCTCACTACCCTTACATCCATCCTCCTTGCCCAAATATGAAGGGACTTTCCTTCTGATAGCTGGCAACATGAACAAACACCTATCAGAATCTACTACATTTCTGAAATCAATGTGCTGTGACCTTAACCAGCCACGTCCTGCTGACTGGACGGACCCTTGTATCTGTCCAGGCCCCATCCATGCCTGGAAGTGACAGACAGCATCATGTTATCAGGAGGTTGGATTTTCTGTTGAGGCCCCAGTGGTCAGAGAAGCTCTGCCAAAGAAGTCAAGAAAGCAGCACTATCCTGAAGCACATGCCAGCTTGGACAGAGTGCTGATTGCTATCGGGACACTGGCCTGATGGAGAATGTTAAAAATAAAAGTAAAACACAGCAGTAAGGCTTTTTTCTGCCAGCTCATATATTGTCAAGACTCAGCCAGCCCAAAACTCCCCAAAACAATTACAGCAGGACCTGAGATGAGTATTTCTCCACTGAAATTTTCTCTTCCCTGGTTAGAACTGAACGGTGTTGACAGCCAGAGTTCTGGGATTTGAAGCCTGGAGGAACAGAGTGATGAGGAAACCAACATTTACTGAGCAGGTACTGCACTCTGAGTGCTTCTGATACTGAGTGCTTCTGATATCCAATCTCATTTTTTCTAGAATAGACAGTGTGCCTTGTATGACAATACTCATTTAGAAACAGGGACTCAGAGAAAGAGAAAACTACTGAGTTCTTATAGCTTGTCTTATAGCAAGAAAAAAAAAAACACACCTCACTTTCAAAACCAATTTTGTCTAACCACAGAGATGGTTGTTTTTAATGGAAAGTTGGCTATATGTGCTTAGCAGAGCTCTTATTTTCTGGAAGAGCCAACTTCAACTTTCCCATTCTCGGAAAGAAAACAATTGCTCCTGACTTTCATATGTTGAGAAGATTAAATGCAATAACATTTATAAAAAAAGGCCCATAAAAGTGCTGTCAATGTCCTTGTTTGCTTAACTTGTTCCCTTCTTCCTTCTCTCCTTTCCTCTTAACAGTTTTATTTGTTGGGAGCAAAGGATCAAACAAAACAAAATGGGAATAACAATGCCCTTTTGGTGCTTATAATCTAGCTATATAAAGAAAAACACAATACACTACCCTAAATTATAGTTTTTAGTGTGTTAGTAGGTGGCAAGTACTAAAGACAAAAATAAAGAAAGCAGAATAAAAAAGAAGAAGCAAATACTTTGCAAGTTCATATAGGCTCTGGTGCCTCTCCTATTCACTTTTCTTATTTTTCTCCCTTGTCAGTGTGATTCGTGGATAACAGAAGACAATTTAGTGTCTGTAAACCTCATAGAAAATATTGCATTGATAAAGTGTAATATTGCCAGCCATAGAATTTTCACATCATGTTAAATGACTAAAGGGTGTGCAAAGGCAATTCATTTGGCTCTCACAGAAGCAGAGAGACTCCCAGAGCCCTCGGGCCTACAAACTTCTTTTTTTCATTGATTTGGAAATTGAGGTGGTCAGTGTTTTCGGGTGCCCAGGCATAACTTAAGCTTACTGGGAAGGGGAGCTATAAAAGATGTAAGGAGTACACCTTCTTCAAATTGTTCATGAGGGATAAAAGATCTGTGGAGAAAGTGTTTGGGATCTTAAAAAGTACACGGTATCATCTACACCAATTGTGAATTGCGGAGTGAAACTCATAGTTCTTATGTGACAAGATAACATAAAAATTGAAGAATGTTAATCAAGAGATAAAATTTAAAGTAAAAACATATTCTGAAGGAAAGTAATTGGGAGTCCACCGTATCAAAAGAAGAGCCATGCTAAAGGAGGCATTGGTGATTCAGGACCATGGATATGTCCCCTACCTCCGCAACAACTCAAAAAATGAAGACAATGAACTGTGCAGAATCAAAATTTTCATGCCCCAAATACTGCTACTTGCACCCACCAAGTGGCTTTGAAGAAAGTAAATATGGTAGATGCAGACCGATGCCCTTTCCTTATGCCCTTGGCACTGGCCTCTGTACACTGAAGGATGCTCACTGCATTGACACTTTTTGTTCTGCTCACGGGAGCATGCTCTGGCCAGAGAAGGGGTAAGTTCCAGGTACAAGAAGTTAGGTACTGAAGCAGCATTAAATTAGTAAGGGACTTGGTAGATTCGCATGCCACGGTAGAGTTCTGGTCACTCAAGCATGTGCTACACTGTCTCTCAGAGTTCTCAGAGGATCTGAGCTCTAGTGGCACACAGAAGTAACTAGTTTCAGTGATCTTTGTTAATTCTCTGTATCCTGTCCTCTTCCCCTACCAGTATTTTCTGGGAAAGATGACTCGGGTTATAAAGCAAAGGCGTGTGTAAGCCTGGATCTCCCGATAGAATTCAAGAATGGATACTGAAAATTAGGTTCCTATGAGATTTTGGGTCCCTGTCCCTTCATCTACTCATCTTTTGAAGCCAGGGAAATAAATCCTTTTGAGCTTGTCTACAAATGTGACTGATTTTAGTTTTCAAAGCACATTTCTATGGTCCTGGAATAATCAGGAGTTAAAAAAGAAAAGCCCATACAAGTTGGGCTGATCAGCCTCAGAAAGCAAAGCACATGTCCAATAATCAGTCAAATTGCACTGTGATTGTTTAATTTTCTCTTTTTTATCCCTTACATGTATGCACCGAATTCCACCAAGGTTTGTTTGTAATCAAATCCATGGAGCAGACCAAGGAAGAATTTAATTCTTGATCCTTCTATTAATGTAATTGCAATTTGTGATTAACCCCATTTTGTAAGTGAGAAAACTAAGACCCTGGAGGGACAAACTAATGGTTCTTGAATCTAGAGTTGAGGCTCAGTCTAGTTATATCTAACTTTTAAATTAACCTTTTAGTCAACTTTCTGGCTTCTACCCCTGAGCATGGCCAAGGAAGAACCAGTATTCACAGAAAATTTAATGGAACAGAGAATTCTTGGTTCTTAAAGGCTCATGAAATCAAGGTCTATCCACACAATAGGATTTCACCATCCTCACTCTCTTCCCCCTGTCCAGAATGAGGTCTCTCACTTCCAAACTTCCTTAACAAGTGACCCTATTTATCACTCCAAATGCTAGACACAAAGCAGAGAGACTGTTCTAAGAAGTAGTAATTATTAGGGATCAGTGATGAGAAATCCTTCCCACAGAAGGGAAGAGAGGGTCTGGTAGTTGGACAGTTCTCTGCAGGCAGGGATGGACAAACGCAAGGGGAAAGCACAAGTTCTACTATTTCACCAGAGGCCAAAGGGTTAAACGCTGAGCACCATAGGATCTTATCTCTCTCCACATCCACCCAACTCTAGTCTCTTCTTTGGCAAAAGTTAAGAAATCCAAAAAGGCTCAGCAGGAATTGGTGTTTTATGGAAACTGATGAACAGACCAAGTTTTAAATCTAAGGTTAAAAGGAGAAAGCTGAGATACAAAAGGTCACAACCTCTTAAAAAGAACTTTGCAGAATCTGGACATGCTTACTTTAAAAGCTGCACTCCCTGTAAATATTAAACGCACACAACATGATTGAACTGAGTTGGGGTTAACTAGGTGCTGTCAGTGATTTGGTATTTTTAGCCATTTGATTAAACATTTATGATTTTGAGTTTGAATTTTTCATTTGTTTGAGTTTGAGATGACTTTTCCCCTTGTACATATTTGTAGATTCTTCCTATGTTCATTTGATAAAGAACTTTGGCAGAAGTAACTTTAAGATGATGAATTCACAGAATATTTTGCCAAAATCTTGAAGACAGGCTGTGATTTAAATTATATTCTAGGATGGTTGAGAAAGTTGAGAAAAATTTACCTGGGATATAATGGTCAGGTGAGTTTGTGCTGCTCGTATAAAACTAGCTTCCTAGGGACTACACTCAGTAGTTTATAGTACCTGGTACCAGTTCTTCTGAAGTCATCCACTTTATAGCCTTAGAAAGACATGGACCATGTCTCCGTATTTCCAGTGTCAAGAACCCCTCAGGACGAACAGATAAAGGGCTAGGAGACGAGCCATTTCTTAGGTCTGTATGGGGAGCTTTTTGAAGAAAATGAGGACTTAGCTCTGAGCTTTTATATGTACTCTCTTTTAATCCTCAAACTGAACCTTCAACATGAGCAACCATAAGCCTATTTTATAAGAGGATATGAAGCCTCATAAATCTAATTATTCATGGAAGACCAAAACTTTGGAAAGGAATAGAGCTAAGATTGGATGTCTGGGCTTTCTAATTCTAAAGCTATTGCTCCTTCTGCTTCATCCGTGCTGCAAAGAGAAAAGGAAAACAGATGAAAGGAGGAAAAAGAAGTAAACCAAGGAACAGAGCAGAAATGGTTTTGATCACCTGTTTGCCCCAGTCTTTGATAAAGGAGGCAAGTGGAGTGACACTAACAAGCTTCAGAGAGGTGGCAGGATCTGTGCCTCATCCTTGCTGCCCAAAGACCCAGTCAGAAAATCTGAGGATGCAGAAAACTGAGCTGCAGGAATGGTAGTTAGCCCTAGAGGGTCTGTGTGGCAACGTGTCAGACACTCTCAGTATTCTCAGTGGAAGAGCACCTCTCCAGGTGATGGTCCTCCCAAGGCTTCATTTCTATAGTAGGGTCCCTCCCCTCTTCCACAGGCAGCAGAGAAGCAGTGGCAACAAGAGCCTGCATCACTTTGATGAAGAGTTATTACTGGCCACAGTAAAAGCTATAATAATCAATGCTAATTTATACACCTCCTTTTTCCGAGGGCCTCTTATTGAGAGAAGTGTGATTTCCTAGTCTGGAGTTATTAATACATCCTGTATCCCACTGGCAAATGGAGCCAAGCAGTGAGCTTGGATGGCTTGAAAGTTGGAGGCTTTCCAATTTTCACTGGTTTCTTCACCTCTCTCTGACCTAAATCTTCATAATAGCTCAAATGAAATGTCTATGACTTTTCTATTCAAATCTTATTGGGTTAAAAAGGAGAGGAGCTATGGAATGTGTCCCAGATGCACTTCCTGCCTTTCTTTTGGGGCAATTTAGTAAGATTGATGGGTCTTTGCCTCATTTCTTAAAAGAAACATGTCCTGTGATATTTATTTCATCAATGCAGCCAGCCATACAACCAATACATTTTATTGAGTCTTACTGTAGGCCAGGCCTTTTTGTCTGGGCTCATCGATAGCAGCATGGAAAGACACTAGACGTAGGCACTGCCCTCAAGGGCCTCAAGTTCATATGAGTTTCCTGTGTTTCTTTGAAAACTTAGTGAAACTATTAATGCCCTGTAATCATCAACATGACTGAAAGTCAGGCACACCTAAGTGTAAAGGAATTCAAGAGACTTCCCCCAAAGTTACCACATCTTACAGAGGCTCTTTCATGCACACTCTGTACCACGATGGACCCAAAAGTGCAATCTCATACTCAGATGAGTATTATTGTAAGTATCTAGTAAGGATGTGGTTTTTCCTTTGATAAATCACATGAAGGGGAGGGTCCTAATATCTCCAAAATCAGGTAGTATGAACATCCTAGATATCATGAATTAGAAGCTAGACACACTAATCCTGAAAGTGCTACTAACTTGTGTGATTTTTGTACACGTTCTTTCTCATTCTCCTGCTGGAATCTGGATTCTCAATATTTCCAACTATTCTTGAGCTCTTGGAGCTCTTCTAGTCCTGGTATTCTAGGACCTCCAGGTCAGTCTCTCACTAGTTTACAAAAGGTGGTCTTTTGGCCAGTATGTCAGGCTTTCTTGTTCTCCTCCATAACCCTAGCTCCCAGTTGAAAGAGGTCACCAGGACCTTCCTGTCCATACCTGCACCTCTCTCCCCTGTACTTCCTTCTTTTAGAGTAACATTTGGCACTGAAGAAAGATAAATATGTGCTAAAACATGGCCCTATCCACCACAAATACAGCAGCCTTGGGCAGACTCTTTAAATTTTGAGGTTCAGTTTTCTTCTCTGCAAAATGGAAATATAAATGTCACTTACCTCATATGGCTTACTGGGTCCTAATTATGTAGAGTGAATTAGTTGTATCAGTACCTCATGTATCTTTTTCTACTCTCTTCATCCCCCTACACCTCCCTCTACTAAAATGTTCAGTCTTGAAACATATTTAACTGACATTTTTTTTATCCACATATTTTTTCTTAGCTGCACAATGGGAGCAGTTTATACAAATACAATTGGTAGAAAGAAAATCAAGAACACAGATAAAACCTGCTTTGACCCTTGGGGTTTGAGACCCAGAAGGAAGCCTGGAAGTAGCCACTAGGTTTCCCACAGACAAAGAGAAGCCAAGCAGAGGCAAAGACTCATGATACCTTTCAACTGTGCAGGGTGACGACACTGAAAGGAACATTTCCTGCCAAAGGTGGTGCCTTCCAGACAGGAGAAGGAGGCTGCATAGACATGATGGTGGTCGGGGACACCGCAGTCCACTGGCTCACATGCCACCTGCTTATTCCACTTGCCTTCTGTGCAGGTCACTGTGACACTGGGTCCAGTCTGAAAAGCAGAGATAAGCCCAATAAGGGCCAGCAGACCAGGCCCAAGATGGGAGGCGAAAATACACTTCATCCACATGTGACATCTCAGTCCTTCTCCAAACACCAAGGAGACCAATGCGTAGTGCTTAACATTAGTTCATTTTTAATGATTTCAACAGCTGTATGAATTAGAAATTTCAGTTCAGATTTAAAGGCACAAAAACCGAAGCTTAGGGACACTGTGTGATAAATGCCTGGATAAAGGTGTACGCGGGACACAAACCCAAAGACTTTCGTGTCTCCTGGATCATTATTTCCACTGGGATTTGGGAACCTTCCTAGGTATGGTAACATCTTTCACAAAACAGATTCTGAGTCATGGCTAAAGGGGTAGAACGCTGGAGGTTGATCTTAGTTATCTTTTATCAGAGGTGGCTACTACGAACCTAATGGAGTGTTTGTTACACAGTAGGTATTGCTTTGGGATAAAAGAGACCTGAATGTGTCTTTCATGTCATCAGACCATGTGCAAGTGCCTATCTTCTCTTGAGCTCTCCTACTAGTAAAATGAATTGATTAAATCTGACAAGTGCCCTATGAGCCACTCCCTATTCTGAGATTTAGTGGCTCAGTAGTCAAGAGAAAAAGATATGAAGAAGAAACAAGGCTGGGAAAAATGAAAGAGTTGGCAGAGATATAAATTAAATACTAGAGGATGGTGAGGCTGTGTAGGTGGAAGGGTGAGGCCGTGCTACAGAGCCAAGAGAGAGACAGTCATTGGCAGCCCAGAGGCTTCCATTCAAAGAGAAAGCTGCCAATTCCCAAAATATTGGGGATGCCAAATATTGGTCTGGGATTGTAAAAGCAAAGGACATTTCCCTCTGTTAAGCATACATCAAAGGGAGTAGAGATCTTCCATTGCCAAAACAGCTTAATTGTTTCCATAGGAGTTCAGACCTGCCACATCTGACACACGGAAGGAAGTAGGTGTCTCAGATGACAGGCCCAGAAGCTCTGTACAAACAGGCATACCCAATAATAGACAATGTGCCTGCGTACCTGGAGTGCAAAAGCAGAATCAACTGGCAGAGCCCTGGAAAAGCCACATCCAGAAACAGAGCTCTGGACACATCAAATCCCTGGGACAGCTAACCTGTCCCATTCCCCCATTCCCCACCTGAGACTCCAAAGCAACATCTGGCTGAAGCAACACTCTGCCACATCCTCAAATCCATTTACCACTGCTCATCAAAGGCAGGACACATCCCATTTCTCATGCACTCCGGTGATAATTTCCTAAATCGATGTGGGCAGCAAGAAGTACCTTTGTCAATCATGATCTGATTGCACCACTTGACCCAGCTTGACGCCCTTGCCTCAAGATGTAGGTGACTTCAGGAAATGTAAAAATTCCATCTGTGGCATGCTCCTTCTCACCAGGATGGTTCCACATACTACTCCTACCAATGCCAGAGCACTGTCTCTCCCTTCTTCCCTTTGCCTAGTTATCTGCTTCTCAGTTTTCATGTTACTTCTAGAAAACTTCCACCAAACCCACTGTGCTTCCTCCACATTGTACATTTCCCTCTACAGTATGTATCACTCTGTGAAGTCACTGGTCATGAACGGTCCATCTCTTCTCTCCACCAGGAACAAAGCTCACTGAGAACAGGGCTAGGTTTATGTGATAACAGCTTTTCCTCTAGGACCTAGAGCAGCATCTGATTTGTAATGAACACCCTTTGCAGTGAATGAATGAATGAATGAATGAGCATCTCATAGTCAGAGGGCTCACCGCAGCCCATTCAACTATGGCAGAGTTTAACTAGAACAGTTTTATTCTATGTGCTCAGTCCGTGCTCTTGCAGACCTGCAGCTTCAACAAAGACATCGATGTATATATTATGTGGAACACACTGCATGGGAGCCCTTCTCTTATAAATGCAGACTGATTTGTTGGTTGCTTGGGGAGGGAGGGAGGAAGAGAGAGAGAGAGAGAGAGAGAGAGAGAGAGAGAGAGAGAGAGGGACACTATATGTATATTATATGGCAGCAATATTTTCAGAGCACTATTTTCAGTGCTGTTGATTTTGCAGAGAACATGTTCCAGCCTTCCCCGGGCTGGAGGAGGACTCAGTGCTTAGCACCTACACACACCTGGCTTTTGATCAGCTCATCATCGCGCTGTATCTGGAGCACGTAGCCTGTCTGGCAGCTGACAGTGCACTGGGCACCGTGGTAGCGGTCGCTGCTGGAGCAATTGAGAGAAGCATTCTCTACGGCCAGCTCTGGGCAGTCAGAGGCCTCGCAGGCAAAGTGCACACAGCTGAGAATGGAAGAAAGAAGAGAATGAGTATGTTGTCTCACGAGACATTTGCACTCCAGATGGAGGATAAGGACTCTCCAAATTTTCAGGAGGCTGAGACTGAGGAAGGGAAGGGATGTTACTAGGTTAAAGAAGACCGGAGGCCATGCTTATGGTTTACCATTAAAAGTACAATATATGGGGACAGATGATCCAGATTCAAATCCTGTCACTTGAAGGCTTTGTATGAGACCAAGATTCTAAACTGGTAGAGCCTCAGTTTTCCAATTTATAAAATGAGAATCATTAGGATTACAAGTATTTTTTGCCAGGCACAGGACTGAAAACCTTCTTATAGTTTATAAGAATATTCATTTATAAGGGTCACAGGAGAATTAAATCAGTTAATTCAGAAAATACACATAGCAAAATTTTTGGTGCCTATGAAGCACTAGGTGATTGGTCACTAATGTTATAAATACATAGATGCTCCATCACTTAGAAGCCATGTGACTCTGGGCAACCACATCTGCTTTCTGAGCTCAGTGTACCTTCAAATACAGTTAGCTCAAGGAGCTGTGAGACTCAGCTGAAGTGATGGAGGCAGAAGTCCAGTTAGCTCAAGGAGCTGTGAGACTCAGCTGAAGTGATGGAGGCAGAAGTCTTTCCTAAACTACAAAGTGACTTAGGAATTGCTAGTGAAGTTGTACAGAGATCAGGCCTAGGTGTCACTGCACCTGCCACTGCCTGTTTTTCTTCTAGGCTAAAATTCTGTGGGTTTTTGGGGGGGCAGGGAATCGAACCTTGAACTTGCGAGGAAGGCAGTGGAACCACTGAGCTAAATCCCCAGCCCTTGGCTAAATTCTGCCCCTTCTTCACGTCTAAGCTACATGTCAACTTCTATGTTAACTTTTCCCTTGTGTCCTCGGGTGAGCTCTCTAGCAAGTACTCTGACTTCCTCTCTCTAACATAGTTGCCTCATGCTCATTGCAACAAAAACACAAATCCTGGGTGCCCACCAGGTTCTGGAATAGGTGCTAATCTTTACAGATACGAAAAGAAACCACATGTAGCTCCTATGTTTGATTCTTTCCTCTTATATTAGTTATGCAGACACTCAGTAATATTAGTTACTACTCACTGATTGCTTACACACATGAGCTCACTGCAGCCTTATGATAACCCTTTGAGCTAAATGTTATTCATTTTACAGTTGGAAACATGGAGGGCCAGTAAGACGAAGTTACCTGGGTAAGTTCTTCCCCACATGTGTGACCCAAAAGTCTTTGTTAACCTTGACCCACAGTCCTAGACCACAGCATCCTTGAGAGGCAGAGAGGTCTGTTTAACCTCAGTTACCACTACATGGTGAATACAAAGTGCTTTGCACATATACACTGCCAAATGAAAAGAGACAAATGAAGGCTCCTAAGTATTGTTTTGAGGTTGAGCTGGTGATATATAACACAGAGAGCTTCTTAGGGATACTTCTTTGTAACTGTCCCCTCTCTGACACTGTCTGCTCTGACACCTACAGTATGCACATATGGCTACTTTTGCATCCAGGACCTCCGCCTCTTATTTCCCCGTGTTCATCTAGGATAGTTTAAAACCAACCTCAGGAGAACGTTCTGAAGTTTTCTTGGTGCCTGCGTTAGGACTGCACACTGAGCGTTTGACTGGGACATGCTTATTACCCCCTGAACACTCTGCCTACTGCTCCAAGTAGAGTGAGAAACAAAGTGCGAGAGACAGAGGAGCTAAAAGCCTCCAAGATGTGTCACAGCAAATTCACTCTCTTAAACGGTCAGAACCTCCCTGAGGAGGCTTTGCACCCTTCCTATACATCCTCCCTAGACTCAGGACAGCAAGGGACACTTACTGGGCTATTCCCAGTCTCACCTTCTCACCCTTCTCCTTGTTCCTGAGCTCTCGGTACTGCACCATGTGGAGATCTTGAAGAGGCTGTGACTGTGGTGTCAACACAAGGGCTTTGACACCAAACGATGCATCTGTTCACGTTGTGTAAGCGCTGAGGGAAGGAGCCACATGGTTCCAATTTAAATAGATTTACTCCATAAGCTACTACCAGTTCTCAAGCTGTTTCTGACCTGTGCTTTCCAGTTTAGATATTCTTATTTGCTCCATACTCCCAGAAGGCTCCAAAGGTCCTGCCCTTCAAGGATCCAGAGGGAAAGGTGACTTTCTTCTCTGGGCCCTGGAGCCATTAAGGTAAAAAAAATATCCTTTTCCTTGTTCTGTGCATGTTAAAGTTCTTCTTCATAGGTGAATGAAAAACTGAAACACTCCCTTTCCTTAAATGGAAAAAGCACAGTGCTATATTGATGGGGGACATCTAGACTCAAGTTCTAGCTCTGTCATGTATCAGTTGTGCAAATTTTGAAGTGTACAAAACATCCTAAGCCTCAGTTTCCTCATCTGTGAAGTGGAAGGAATAAAGTGATTTATTTCTTGGAACTGTCATCAGGGTGGATTGCTGCCCACTTGTTCATCTATTCAACAGACACTGGCAGAGCCTCGCTGAGTACCAAATGCTACTGGAGAGGACCAGTAAGGTGTGTGGCATCCTTGGTATTTAAGAAGGAAGGTCACGTGGCAAGGAGAAGTGAGCCGTTTCAGACAGTAATGTCTACAGGAATGACATTACAATGAAGTGAAATTGCAGATAGGATTGGTTTTGGGGAAGGGGCAGGACATGTTTTATAGAAGGATCCACAATCAAGGGACACCTTATTTAGATCTAGATGAAATGCAGTAATCGGTTGTATAAAAATTGGGGGTAAAACGAGTTCCGGGCAGATTAAAGGGCAAGTACAAAGATCCAGAACAGGATGGAGTATGTATGTTATCAGAACAGAAAGGTCAATGTGTGAGAAATGCTTCGGAAACTATGAAGCCCCATGGGACGTTTGTCCCTCTACTCTGTCGCTTTCTGCTCTCGAGGGAAAATATGTCCTGGTCTCATGAATTATCTGTCCAAAAGTTCCCTCAATCAGATAAGCATGAGCAGCACTGGAATACTGAGAAAATAGCTTCTATATTTCAAGACTTCTCGAGGAGTTCAATATTTTAAAGCAGATGTCCAGAAGAGGCTAAGGTGAAAATTATTCCTCAAACTCTGAAGCCTTTTTTTGAGGGATATTTCTTAGCACTAGTGTCTTCCAGAACACACTTTGGGGAGTAAGGCACTCGTGGTTTTTTAGCACATCTATCTGAACATGGCTTGCATGCTTGCAAATGGGAAGAAAAGATGGCAGGAGGTCATATGTGTCAGGCATTGGCCATTATATTTTATTTATATCACCTTATTTGCAATCACACAATAACTCCTTAAGGTAGTAATATTATTCTCATTTGGACTATGAGTTGTAAATGGCTTGCCCAAGGGCACTCAGCCTGGACAGAATTTGGATGGAGATCTGCCAGTGTGTTCCCTAACTCCCCACTTCTTCCTTTTCTATCCTTTTGGTTGAAAAAGGTTGTGTGAACACAATGTCCCAAAATGATAAACATTCCCCCAGATGGCCCTCCCACATAACTCCCCGCAACAACCCTGTCATTTCTGAAACACTAAAGCAAAAACAAGAACAACAAGGCAAAAGAAAAGACTGATTTTTTTAATGGGGGAAGGGGTGATGGATGTTTAATGCGAATAAGAAAAGAAGGAAAAAGTAAAAGACTGTGAAGGGAGAAAGATGGCTGGCTGGATGCATGAAAGAAGAGATACAGATCATTGTATCATCAAATTCTCACATCTGGGCAAAGGTAGAGACCCAGTGCAGAGCTAAAAAAAAACCTTCATTAATTTTCTTTTGTGCATTTATTTATTTACAGACCCAAGTTCCATAGGGAAGTAAAATCTTATGTGACCAACCAATTCCTTAATTGTTGTTCCCATTGTTAAGTGAAAGGAACACCAACTATACCTAGCAGAAGACACCTTGGGCAGTACTAAAGCCAACATAAAGGTACAATTAAATGGCTCCTAATTTGGCCCTTTGACTCATGCTTTAATTCCTGTGGCCTGCTACTTAGCTACAATTATGCTGTGGGGATACAAAGCCAATGACACATCCTAGGCTGCTCAGATGGAGACAACAAAAAAGACAGCATGTACAACACTGGAAAATAAAAGGAAACTTTCTTTGGAGATCACTTTTGCAGGATCATTTGGGAAAAGAGGCTGAGAAGGAGATAACATAATAGGACCTCGTGTTTTCAGCCAAAATATGAAGCTGCTGGGGCAAGCGATCCTAACTGATTCTTCTACAATGGATTTCTAAGAACCAGCATTGTAGTGTGGTATACAGGCAAGGTTTTGAAGAGTAGGAGATACAAACTCAGCGTATCAATGTACAGGGTCCAGGCAGACAAGGGGACCTGGAAAAATGAAAGGTAAGGTAAGCCAGGGATGGGATGCCCATAGCAGCAACACATCAAGGCAGACTAGCAGGCCTGCTGCTTTCAAATCTTCTGACTTATTTAAAGAGTTCCATGAATAATTCTGCTTCTTAATATCAATTCTCTTGATAATTAAATGTTAGCAATTAATTAAAGAAGATAACTAATGATAGACAAATGTTTTTTTTTTTTAACACCAGTATTGAAACTCCTGGTGGAGAGGAAAGAGAAGCAATTTCTGAAAACCAGATTAAAAGGCAGGTTAAACCTTCAACTCACTGCCTGACTGTGGATCTCTCTTCTCTTGCCTTGACCCTGTGTTTCCTTTCAAGTGAGGAATTAGGGAGAATTATGAAGAATTAAGGAATCTTCAGAGTATCAACTTTCAGGTGTCATTGTTTTATAAAGACAAAAAAAAGAATTATATAATATCAAAGCTCTCTGGGGTGAGAAAAATTAGGCTTTGATAATCTCAATTATTGACAAGGATATATAGGGAAATAGGAAACCTGATGGATTACTGATGGTGGTTAGAATTGAAGAGTATTTTAGAGAAGAGTCAGGCAACAGTCAAATAAACATATGACCAGGCACAGAAACCCCATCTGAAGAATACAACCCAGGCCAGTGATTTCTAACCTATGGTCTGAGAGGCACTGATTCCTTTGCAAGGTGGGAAAACTGGGTGAGGGTGTGGGCAGCAATGTAAAACCTGTTGTTCTCTGGCCACAATCAGCTTACTCTGTGTTTGAAATTCCATATGTGCATTGCTATATAGTCATCTAATGAGGTATTCCACACCTGGAGCCCTGGCAATACACAGACCATGGAAAAGCTTGGCTTCAGTTTTTGGGTCCCCCCAGACACAGTCAATGCCATTCTTGCTGCCACATAAAGAACTCGCTCCCTACCAAAGAAGGCCTTTCTAAAGTTCGCCTTCTATCAGTTAGCATCCCTTCTGTCTCGCTGTGTCAGCATGTAGAAAAGGTGAAAGAATTTGGGTAGAGGAAGAAAGAGAATGCAAAAAACTTAAGAAGTATGAGTCAGGAAAGAAGGAGAAAAGAAGGAGATGGGAAGAGGGGAAGAGAGGGAAGGAGGGGAAGGAAGTCAATCGACTAAGTATAGGGCCTATTGAATTTAACAATGAGCTGTTTAATTTCTGTTGAGAATCACAAGACTAGATGGAACAGTGTGCTGTGTGTGTGTGTGTGTGTGTAAAATAAACACATTGGGGGTGCTCAATATTATGACTATAATTTTTTTATTGAAGAATCCTCTTTCCCCACCCCATCTCTTTGTCCCCAATAGGTGTGAAGCTGGGATTTGATAAGAATTCCACAACTGGATCTCTCATTTGAAATCTGACCCTGCTTTTGGGGGGTCTCAGAATTTACACCAAGTATACTGCACAGGGACCGAAGATCCTTGAATCTAGGTCAGAACACACTGCCTGCATTGATTTTACAACAGCAATGATTCTCCCATGACCGCCCACTGGATATCACAGTGCTCTCACGAGAAGAGAAGGAAAAGGAGGAGAATAGGGTGGGTGAGGAAGGGAGGAAAGACAGGAGGAGAGAGATGAAGAGGGAGGAGGAGAGGAGGCAAGAGAGAGAAAGGGCAGGGTGTAGCAAGGCAGGAAGAGGTGTAGGAGGGAGAAGAGGACAGGGTGCACGTGGGAGGTGGAAAGGGAAAGAAGACGCAGCAGCCCTCATTACCTGGGAAACAGCTGAGAGAAAGGTGGGGCATTCTAACTACATCCAGCTGAAACCTGTGCTATAAAAGTGATACTATTTACTTTGGTAATTTTGAGAATGAAGCAAAACATCCCAGGGCTTTGTGCCGTGGTTGCTTATTTTTCTTTTCCTTCCTCTTTGTTTGTTTGTGTTAATGCATTTACACATTTGCAGAGTCTTGCCTGTTTTGGTAAATGCCTTTGCAGCTTCCCATGAACAGCTGCTGTCCTTTCCCCACTGGAGCATTCAGGAAGAAATGCCCCAGCCCTGCAGTCTCGGCCATCCCTCCTCAACCTTATCCAAGCTCACAGACAAGCCAGCCATGGCCCTCTGGGCTGCATCTCCATCCTTTCACTCAGAGTTGCACTGAGTATGTGCTCACTTGTGACCGGCCAAACCTTAAATTCCTCTCCTCTCCTCCATATGCCTGATGCAATGGGCAGGGCAGACTCAGGGGCAGACAAAACAGGATTTTTCCATCCTAGAGCCTGGATGGATGTCCTTGACTCACTGTTTCTCTGTGACCTCCCAGAAAAGGTATGAGAATGAAATAGGATGATGCTCTGATCAGGGGTTCAATAAATATTTGTTCCCTTCTCTCTTCTCTCATCCCTCCTCACTCTTAAGAAACAAAGACAATTACAACTGGAGAGAACCACAGAGAACATTCAAACTATCATCATTCATTTATAGATTGAGAAATTGAGGCCTAGAGAGAGGGAAAGATTTGGCAACAGTCATACAGAGACAGGGCAGCCCTTTGACACAATCCAACGTGGCTGCTTCACCAAAGAACTATACAAACATACTGATGGATTTGTTTCAGAGGTTGGACACTTCTTCCTGTTAACTCAGGGCACAGGAATCGTCAAATGAACATTCAAATAACTTAGTGCTGTCTTCAGCAGACTTGTGCATGGGCTGGATGGCCAGCTAAGAATGGGAACACGTTGTAGAAAAAGTCTATAATGGACGTGGATTTCCCATTAACATTGTTTCCCTGCATTCTGAGAATTAAGCTATTTTTATAGAGTCTGGAGAGCAGGGGATAAAAAAGCCCTCTTAGAGTGAAATATACAATGAGTGATATTTAAGGAGCTCTTGCCTTAGAATGATTGCGACACACTTTGCACAACAGAAGCTGGAGACAGTGGGTGCAAAACAATGTGGATTTTGCAACCACCTTTTATGTCCTCTGTTAGAGCAGGGGCGTGGGAAAGGCTGAAGTCCCCCTCCCCTCCCCATTTTCTTCCCCACGCCCTCAGGTGTATAGGGAAAGGCTGAATCACCCAGTGAAGGGTGTCATTCTGATGAGCCCACCACCATGACAACTCCCCCCCCCCGATTCTGGACCCCATTCAGCAAACCTGAGAGATGCTGGGAAACTCTGGGCCCATGGTCCCTGTCTGGGCCCTGAAATTCTGGATAGTAATGCCAAGCTTTGGACACAATAGGTGTCCTAGATCACCACCGAGTCTTCTTCCAGCTCTGACTTGAAGAACTGGACCCAGAGTTCTGTGCAGAGAAGCACCACCATCATCATTGCAAAGTCACTGCAAATATTCTTTATTGATATCAAAGTTCCGAAGCTCATATTCTCTCCAGGAAACACCACTCCCTTCTATCTCAAAATGAGGTACAGTCACAAATGCCAAGTCCATAGTGCTTTCTGGAGTGACGGTATGCAACTAAAAGACAAGCTCCTAGGCCATGGAACTCTGGGGGCAGTTCTGCAGAAGGAGGGGAGGTTCCACCCACCTCTCAAATGCACAGTGAATTGTGATGAAACCAATGCCAGTGTCACTCTGTCCTTGATTTAAGAAGGTTTTGCCTCCTGCTTGTACCACCAATGAAGCTGCATATCCCAGCACTACAGAGCTGAAAGAGCAAATCCACCCGCCCTCTCTTTGTTCAGATAGGGATGCTGAGCCCAGAGAAAGACATTGCCATTTTCAGGTCACTTCCTATTGCCAACTCTGTACTGAAGCTTGGAGAAGGAGGGTGTTTTTCCACCATGCGTCCCGTTTCCCTCGCTCACCCCAGGAGTTCAGAGACCTGTGGGCCTCTCAAGCCCAAACCCTGAGTTGGCCAAAGTTCAGAGAATGGAGAAGGGAGAACTGTGCAGACGTTTTACAGGCACACAAGCAGCAACTCAAACTCAGAATCTCAGGGTTTCCATGTGGCTACAAATGGCACAGGGTGAGCAGGCCCAGGATGCCTTACCTCTGCTCTGCAGGGCTGTAGGTCTCTCCTCTCTGGCAGCTGCTCAGGGTGACAGGGTCAAAGTTGTCGAAGGAGCGGAGGGCCACCCCAGAGATGGCAACCAGGGGCGAACTGAAGCTCACACGTACCGCCTGGCTGTGGTAGAAGGGCTGGCTGAGGTCATGGACCACAGGGATAATCAGGGGATTGTTCCTGCAGCTCAGGACATGGAGGCCTGTCAGGGGAGACAGAGGGCCGAGGGGCCAGGCTCATTACTCAAGGCCAGTCACGCCCTCCCCAATGGGCCCTTCCTGAAGCCCCCAGACCCTTTCATGTCACTGCACAAAAGCAGCATTGGGCGACCAGTGAGGATTTTGAGTTTGATTGAAAGTTTCTTTGTCTGCTATTTTTTCTTGGTTCCAAATCTTTCCAATCCTGCTGCCTCCCTGCCCCCTAAGCTTTCCCTTCACCTAGTGCCCACAAGCCCTCTCCCTCTCCCCAAGGGCCACCCCTCATGCAAGCATCCCAGGCCCTCAGCTCCCTCCCACATCGCCAGAGGGTTTGATGGTCTGAGCTGCTAGTTTTTAGGCTGCCTGTCTAGATGGCCATAAAAGTGATGGAAATAATTCACAGCAACAGGCCCCTTGCAGGGTAACAGGAAAAAAAAAAACTTGTTATAGGAAATACACAAAGTTGGAGCAGGTCTGAGGAGTAAGAACCCCTCTATGCACCCTCCATGCAGAGCAGGAGATAGACACAGGAACTCCAGCGACCCACAGTACAGAGTGAGCAATGAGACCAAGCCTGCTTCACCCAAGAGTTCTCCATTCTTGCTTAGAAGAGGCAGCAAGTCCCTAAGCTTGGGGAAGGATGACAGAGAGTCAGGCAAAGAATACAGAAAGGAGGAAACGAAAGGGAATGAGAAGGTTGGCTAGAGTTGGCAAAACGGAGATTGGCTTTGGTGGATTCGGGTATAAATGTGTGTTTAGCATGTTCCTGTTGACCAAAACTCTGGAAAACTCACTAAAGATTCTATGTTTAAAAAATTGTACATCTAAAAAATTGCATAAGCCTGGTAAGCAACCTGGCAGCCTTGCTATAGGAGAGTTCTTCCTTGTAGAAGCAGGAAGCCCCAAGACAGCAGGTGTCTTTCTCCATTCCTGGGAATGCTGGAAAGCTCAGATGGGTGAACATATAAGAACTTGTGGGTACGGACAAGGAAAGGCAGAAGGCTCCGACACCAGTAGCAGGATCCAGGGAGCTACTGGGAGCTCACTTCCCCCCACTCTCTTTAGAAACCTCTCCTAGGAGCCCTTTGCAATGCCAGGACAACTATGAAAATATTTATTTGTCACTTAAGGAAATTTCTCAGGAATCCAGAAAACTCCAGAGGGGCTTTCTTTCTCTTTCTTATTAATATGTTCCCCTTTGCCTTTAAAAGTGACTAAATAAATAAACATGAAGACAAAACAAAACAAAAATCCTCTCTGCTCCCCCTGGCTTCAATCTGACCCCGACATGACCCTGTGTCTGCTTACTTCTTATGGGTTTTTGAAATGGGCTCTCTGGGGAATGGTGTGGGCACAGCTTTGAAGTCCAGGCTCTTGGGCTTGCCCGGAATTCCAAACACTCAGAAGGGCTACCCAGAGCTCTCCAGGGCAGACTGAAAAAGAGAGGGTGTAACAGGGATTTCTTAGTGCTAGCAGGGATTTCCTAGCGCCGGGATTCATGCTGGTCATTGTCACAGCAGTATCAAGGAGTGTCTAGCCATGTTCTTAAAACGGGCATCGCTGTTTCTGCGCATATGAAGACAGCAAGGCACGGAGAGGCTGAGAGAACTGTGCAACCTAACAAAGTGAGTGAATGGCAGCCATGAAATCAAACTTTGGCAGTCGGCTCAGGAGCTGGGTTTTCTACCTGCCTCTCCATTCCTGATCACAACAGAAAGCTTTCCTGTCCTCTTCCCACAGGATCTCCTACGGAAGCTATGCTGGCGTACAGTCGTGTAGGGCATTTTTGCAGACACCTCTGGTTAGAGTTTATGACTCTGAAACCTGGCTACTTAGGTTCTATCTGAATACACAACCACATCTTTAATGAGAACACCAGAATGCCAAAGGGGAAAGAAACAAGAAAAACAAAAGGGGAAGGAAGAGGCCATTCTAAGCTGAGGCACAAGCGTGGAAGCAGGCACCATGAACAAGCCAAGCCAACCCAAGAGAACATGCTTGCCTAGATCGTGACTCTGATCTTCGGTGTCAAGCAGCTGCACGCTGATGGTCTCTTGCTTTTGGTCCCCATAATATGTCCCATCAGTCACCAGGTGGACAATGACAGCTGCAGCAACCATTGGCTGAGAGAAATATGCCTGAAATGGAGAAGACATGGCGAGTCACTCGGGTATCCAATCATGTGGTAGGCAAGCAGCTAGGCTGTGGCAGATTCGAGGAGAATCTGCCCCCTAAGCTACTCATTAGGGGCATCAGATTGGGTGGAAATTGGTGAAAATTCATAGTAAGGAAAGCAGGCCTGAGTTAGAAATGCTGTTTCAGTCTTAGCTCTGCTTCTTTTTACCTGGCTCCACAACACTGCAAGGATGGTCAGCTTGCTCTGCGTCTAAATTTTCTCATTTCTAATAGTGGATTACAGGGAAAAAGCTATCTTACAGGGTTACCATGAGATTCTGGTAAGACAATGGGAATAATGTGGCAAGCGCAGGACCTGGTGCACAGTCAGACCACATAAAAACGGCATGGAATTTGTTACCCATCACTTTTCCACACTAACATTTACACTGGGAACTGAAGACATGAAGCTGAACAAGACATGGTCCTTGCACTTCTGGAAACCATGGGATTCAAAGTAGGTTAGGGACACGAAAGTTGAAATCAACACAAGCCACAAAGATTCAACACTCAACTTTGGAATATCATGTGACAGGTGTCATACAGCAAGTGGCCAAACATGTGCCAAACTGGAAATCAGTGCAGACTTCAGGGAGGAAAAGATCATTTCTAAGGTACTTAACATAACAATAAAATCTTCAGGCAGGTAGAAGTTAGCCAAATCATTTGCCAGTACAAGAGCAGTTAAGGAATTCTATTTCAAGAAGCACTTACTACTGTTTTATTCCCTGTCCTTACACTAACAGGCTTAGCACATGGATGAACCATCTTGAAACAAGATCATCACAGCAGGCAGTGCTTCCTGGGACCCAGTGCTGAAGATGCCTCCAAGACTCGGGCTTACCTGGAGCCAGAAAGCTGTCTGAGCCAGTTGCGAGTATGGATAGCTGATGGTGCAAGGGTACCAGGCGTGCTGAGAGATGCCTTCACTGAGATCAATCACCTTGGTTCTACATACCTGGAAAAAGATACAAGAAAAAAAATAATTTTTTAAGGGTCTTGAAGTCTTCTTCATTCTAACAAACCTTTACTATCCATTTGTTTTGTTCTTAGTACCATAAGAGAAAGCATTGATAACTAGATACGAATCTGCTCTGGGAGCTCACATTCTATCTTTGAAGCGATACTCAGTGCTATTAAGGAAAGAACTGATGACATATTCTGGTGGTCAAAGTGACAGAGACAGTCACACCGGGTCAAATCCTGAGGGAGTCAGCATTGAATTGGGCCTCGAAGGCACTGCAGAAGCAAATGCTCAGGGGAAGGCAAAACTCCAAAATCTTTAGCTGTGATAAACTGTCTGGTATTCACAGAGCTCGGAGAATGTGGGGTCGGGGTGGAGAGAAAGCAAATTGAAGTATTTGATCTTGTGATCTCATGTCTTGAATGCCAAGCATACTATTTTAGAACAAATATGTAAATTGTGCCCGGAGCTGTATTAATGAAAAAGACTATGACAGTATGATCATTTGCCTCCCTACTACTAATGAAAATTAATTATATTACTTTGTAGACACACACACACACCCACCCAAAAAACACTCAGTGACAGATAATAGAAACAGGAAGCATTTATAGATAAGTAGAAATTTTCAAACTTAAAATTGTGTTCAAATATCACTTCATTTATTGATTTCTTCATTCACCCAAAAGATGTTGATTAGATTACTGCTGCTATTTGCCAAGCACTCTCAGACAAAATAGTAGAAGACAGAGGGTGGAGGATTTACAGCAAGCATTGTGTGCAGATATGAAACAAGAAATCACATAGACATGCATAACTGTAAACCAATCAAAGCATTATGTTGGACAAGGATGGGACAACTGATTGGTCAGGCATGGTAGAAGCATTTCCAAATTAGTGCCTTCTTGCTAATCTTTAATGCGGTTCTACTCTCAAAACCTACCTGTGATGTGAAATAGGAAGAAAAGGACTAACGGTGTAGGGGACGTGGGAAGGGTAGGGGAAAGGAAATAAGGGAAAAGAAAAGAATATGAGAAAATGAAAAAAATGGAAAAAAGTTTTTATAAATGGGGGGGTAAAAGGAGGGCAGGGGTATGGGGAAAAAAAAAGAGAAACAAGACCTGTCACATAAAGGTACAAGATCCCAATGATGAATGTAACTGCACTGTATACCTAAAATGTGCCAATAAACTCTGAGGAACAA